AAGGCTTTTCCCATTTGGAGGTATCAATGAGTTGACTGTGAAGGGTAATCAGCCAGTATAAATTATTCATGCCATGCATGAAGGTCAAGGGCCTCAGGTTAAGTGTGGGAGTGCAGCTGAGAGCAATATCCTGACACTACTTAGCTTTATAATGTAGGTCACATGCTGTTTGTTGCCTTCACCAATGACTTCAGATGTACTTTCAAGAAAAGAAATGTCCATGATTTAGTCTAGATGATGTTAAAATCACTGGACCCTTACTGAGTCCAAAACAAACATTGCTCCAAATATGAGAATCCAAACTATGACTTAAAAATATGACACTTATAGTTCAAAATTATACAATAATTGATGTCCTTAGGCTTCAATAGAATCCATTTCACAGCAGCACTTCCTCTATCTACAAGAGGAATGAGTTTTCTTTCTCAAGGGACTAGCTGACTGGGGACAATACATGAAGTATCGCAGGTAGACAAGCTTCTGGCTAGATCTGATTTCCCATGTGGTGGGTTGGCCTAACAATAAGAATTTTTTAAAAAAGGTCACAGGTTTGATTCTCATAACTCATTTGTTGAACTGTCCTCCAGTAGGTTAATGAGTTCTGTTCCTGGCTGGTCCACTGCAGAGAGTGGATGAGCTTATAAGGAAATTACATGACTGTCCAATGTTCTTCTAAACTAATAAGGAAAAGCTGTGTTTTTCATACTCACCGAGAAAACTGCATTTTGAAGCCCAAAAGGTATGGGGGTGAGTCTCGCTAAGGCCACAACTTTGAGTCCACTTCCTCCTTCCACCACTCGGATGACAGCACTGAGCTGTTCACTGTTCCCAACCTTGTTCAACACCCAATCAGTCAATAAGCGTTTGCACACCAAGTGTGCCACAAAAGTCCCTATTAAAACTCCCACCATGACTAGTCCCATTCCCAGAACAAAGCCGTAGAGGTAGCCAGCTGCCACATTAAGAACAATATATCCCCATCCACATGGGAATGACACAATAATCAAACCAACTATAAACAGCAAGGCTCCGACGAGGCTGTCCAAGCTCTCCACCCAGAGCAGGAGGTCCTTGAGGTACTGGCGCACAAGGGCAACCGAGGAGAAGCACACAGCAGTCAGGATGCACGCCAGTAGAGCGCTCTTGAAGCAAAAGGTGGTGATACAGCATGGGTGTCTGAACTCTCCACCACTGGCGAAGGTCGTCCCTCCTGTGTCACTGATAACCTCAGGGTCTCCATCTGACTTCCCTATTCCAACCCCCCTCTCGTCAAATGCGCTGCATATCAGGATGTCGATCTTGTCACACTCATCTGTGGCAGTCCTCTGCAGCCAGCGGTTAAGCTGAATCTGCGCCTTGCCCACAGCATGCTTGATGAGCTTGGTGAAAAGCTGCACAGTCGTGGCCCCTGACACTGACATGTTGGTCCTCAAATAAACTCTGGGGACCAGCAGCAACGCTCAGATGAAGTGTCCCACCTGGAGACTGCTGTGACGTTAGAGGTTTTCAGACAGTCTTTAGATCCAGTGCAAGTCCATGTCTTGCAGTGTCAAATTGTTGAGCTTCAACAGAGACAAGTATTTATAAACTTTTAAGAAGATGGCTTCAGCAGTGGCATCCCATTGCTCTGCAACTTTGAGAGCAACTGTGTAGTGAGGCATAAAGATGAAATCCGTCACTCTCCTTGGCCATTACATGAACTTTCCAGTTTAACCAGTTTATCTTGGGTACACTAGCTGGGCAACGTGCCAGTCCAACGATTTAAAGGTGCCAGTTTTGTAGTCTCTGTCTGAAACACTCGCCATATTCAGTGTTGTCACCCCTCAGCTTCAGGACAGTGCAGAGTCAATAGATGCAGGGAGCTGTCAGGACAGCAAAGAGACGATCTGTGAGGACTCTGACAAATCAATCCAACACTTCTTTAGATCCAGATGTGGTTCAAAAATATCAACTTTTATAACACCACCATTCCCATCCAGCTAACGTTAACCCACTAGCATAAATCACTGCATGGCTAACTTACTCCCGTCGTTAGCTAACTAGCCCGCTGTGTGGATAAAGTCCTCAGCTGCATTTCAGAGACTAAAGCCGGCTTATTCTCCCGGACAACAGAGCGACAGACGGGACGCAGAAGTCAAATATGAACACGCAGTTTGCTGTTTCTCCGTTGGTTAGGTGTTGTTGTTGCTCTCTCCGCCTTCCCTCCGCGGTGCAAGCCGCTGCTGTCGCTGCTCGAGCTCTTCACACCGAACACTGTTTGTGTCCCAGAATGCCAAGTAACCCCAGCACACGTGACCGACAGTTACGCCTTCTCATCCAATCAAAGGGATTCCACTGGTCATCGCGAGAGTCCACGACAAATTCAGTTTGTTTTGGATCAATTGTCTTTGCACGGTTTCTGCGGTCAGTCAGTCACAGTGCAGCCACATAAGTAGAGCCAACTATTATATAACCAACCAACAATCATTACTTCATCCTAAGATTTTACTATTTAACTTAAATTATCCAATTAACTTAAATTATTCAATTATAATTATTTGTTTAATAAGAAATTCCAATTTAACAATCGAGATGCAATTGTATCCAGTTGCACAGAAGTAAAGAAAAGTATTCAGAATGCAGAATGGCACCTGCCAGAGTGTTGCATTTTTATATACACTCGTTTGTTAGTTTGTTGGGAACATCTGGATGAAACTAATGCAGCCAACCTTCAAGGAGGCTAATGCTAAAGTACTAGTATTATTATTATTATTATTATTATTATTATTATTATTATTATTATTATTATTATTATTATTATTATCAGAAGTAGTAGTAGTAATATTGAAACTGTGTTAGAGATGTGGATTCAATCTCATTTTGGAGGATGTAGTTTGTTGATTTGTATTACATTATAGCCTACAGAGAGGTCTTTCTGTTAATAGCCTATCTTCATTGATTTCAATGGGATGGGCAAAATAATAGCGACACTTGTCAACATAACAGTACCACATTTTCCAAATGATCATATGGTTGAAAAAAATTGATTACAACCTTCATGAAGGTAAGACTAATATCAGGACTTTTATATTAGACTGCATTAGTTTTAGCTTGGTGTTCCTAATAAACAAATTAATTAATGACAACTAAGTGTCTAGTATATTCTTGGATTGTTATTTTTACTGATGTATTAACATGCATTTTAAAGGAACTCATTTGAACCCAATTTAAGGACTTTTTATACTGTTGTTTAACCAATAACATGCACCATATTTTATAAATTGATTACATGTTTTGTTTGAATCATTTTAACTTGCAATGTAACTTGCAACTGCAGTTGTAAAATAGGTATATTGGAGTAGAAAGTACAATATTTCCCTCAAAGTTTTACTAAGTTTTTCAGTAATTTTCCTTAGTTGCTTTGCTCCACTGTTATTCTAACATAAATTCTGGAAATAAGTTGTATGGTCATCAATCATTCAGGGAAGATATGTCATACATAAAATATAATGAATCAATTTTTGATTGAAAAAATATATGGTGACAGTCAGCTGACCTTATATAGGATTTATAGTATGCAACAGAGTTTGATATTCCCATACAGATATTCTTCTGTATTTCTGTGAGAATACGGTATAATATCGTAGCCTGAAGGGAATATCCCTGCTTGGCGTACTTACCATAAATTCATAATGAGGGGAGTGAAGCAGACAAAGAGTGCATTCATGCATCCACCACCGCTCAGCCCCTGGCTCTCCCAGCTGTGGGTAAAGAAACTCTTTAGGTGGTAGTCCTTAAAAAACTTTGTGTAGCCATTGCTTAGAGTTTTTCTCAAAAGCTTTGTCATTCATGTCCTAGACTTGTGATGACATTAAATGCCTTAATCTTCAGACATTCAAAACGATTTGTTTGTGCTGTATGTTGGAGAAAAGTGTGTTTGTGTGCTCTCACAGCACTCCACTAGATGGAACTGTTACACAGTTTTACAAACAATTGTGGTGTCTTTCACATTATAATTTATGTGATGACTGCCCCCCCCCAAAAAAACATTTAACAGCTGACAATCAAATTCATTATCAGGTTCAATTGAGTTCAAATGAAAACATCCTTATCATACATTTGGGGCAAACCAACAAAAGCTATAGTTTTAAAGTTTACAAACTGAAAATGTAGTTTAAACGGCCTTACCAGTGTATTTTCCCTCATTTGATTTTCTGAATATATTGTTGGAATAAATAAATATCAGCAACAAAAGTAAATGCCAACTAAAATATGTAAAAAAAAAAATTAAAAAAAAAATCCTAATCACTGTGGTCAACTTAAACAATACGAGAACAAATAAAGACTGGCTGAGCAAGTGTAACAATGTCTCAAATGTTGCAGATCACGTTATTACATGTAAAGGGCATAGAGAGGACATATGAACGATTTCATTCAAGATGAAATGACCTTTTATCATTCTTTGTGTCAACTATATATAGCCCTCTTATCTGTGCACATATATACAGTATACAGGCCATTTGTGCAGCTCATTTTACTGCAGTCTATGTGATTATCCAGACATGTTAATAGATAGGAGGGAGGTTTCGTTATAGAAGACATTTCTCATTGATACGTTGCTGGAAGTTTATTAGAATATACACCACGATATTGTGAGTGACCAGATTTGGACTCATTGCAGCGGCAGCCAATACACTACTGTGTCAAAACAGACAGACACAGCAAGTATAAACCAGGAATTGTGGTGATTTTTTTTTTGTCAAAATAAAAGCATAGCCTATGTATTTCCAGTGTTTATTGTGGGCCTATTACAAAGAATACCCTCAAAGTTATCCGCAGAGATATGAAATTGTATTTGAGTTTTAAGACGTGGAGTGAAAGCATTGCAGAAAATAGTCATTTTTATGATGATATTTTATAAAGTTAATTGTGAAACTTTACCCCCGGAAATCGTGTATTTTATTCTGGCGGGATTGACAGCCGCACAGAGTCGATGTTTCTCACCAGTGAGTGATCGGGGGTTCAAGCGGACACATTCCTCTGCAGTTCACTACTGAAGCCACATTTCTGATGATGGATTGTTCAGAGGAGGTTCAGTCTGTGTCTCAGGAGCCCAGCGCTCAAATGGAACTAAAAAAGGGAATGTCGATTTTCATTGACGTAAGTAAAACATTTTTTAATCCTTACTCACAGAATAAGATTGATTTAATATTCACTGCTAACGCCTACACTGAAGTATCCGCGCTCCTTTTGATTTTGGATTAAGTGCAGAAACTTAAGTTTTATGAAGGACTATGTTGTCATTTAATTTCATTACCTAACTAATAATAGACTATACTAGCAGAAAAATGTAAAAATACTATATAAAAAAACAACAACATGTTTAATTCCTTTTATAGAAAGAGATGCATTTTTAATTTTCAAATCCAAGTGTCAGTGATTTTAGTTATTTGTTGGAGGTTTTGAATCACCTGATTTAATATGGATCCCTCTAATGTCTCTAATATATGCAGAGTACAGAGGGTTCCTTGTTTTGTGTAATGAATTAATTTGACAAACCTGACCTTCTTGGTGTAGAGATTTCAAAGGCTGGCCATCCGTTTATATGTCAATGTTCAAAACCAAATGTCAAATTATTGAAATGCTGGAAGTCCACCTTTTTTCATAAAAGTCAGGGTGTTATTCTTGTTGACCGTAATAAGCCAAATCTAGTTCACTTATGCAAAACATTATATTGCCATTTAAATCTAAAAAGTTACAATCTTTTAGTTAATAAGATAAGACTAGGATTCCCAAAACTTGCATATCTCATTGAGATGGTGAGGATTTACTGTAGTCTAATTAAAATCTTATGATATATAGTGTATAGTATATATAAGTGCTTCTCTCTCATGAGCTTTTTCTCCCCTGTTTCATGCCATTGCTTATATCAGCCACTTAATTATATTTCCCTCATTCCTGCACTCTGTTTCAACCATAATTCTGTTGGCTGCCTTCAGTGTTTGAAAGAGGCAGGAGAGGATGCACACAGGGGAGCAGAGACTTATTAAAGGCGGGAAGTCTTCCAACACATCAGATGTCTCACTGATGTTGAACAGGGGCTTTATCCTCTGGCACTGACTGACAGTGAATGAAACCACTGCTTGTCGTCTTCAGAGGCGAGCTGGTCTACAGAGTGTTGCTTCTGTTATTTCTTGACATCTCCTGTACAGGTTTCAGCCTCAGTCTGCTGCGTGTCATTAAAACACACATACTGGCTCCAAACACACATTACCTCCTGGAACAGGTTGCATGTGTTGTTTCTCCGTGTGTGTTTTTCTTTATCATTTTGATGCTGTTGTGGTGCTGGAATTCCACTTCTTCTTAACAGATCCAATAGAGGGAAAATTTTCTATTTTCTTGGGTAAAGGATTCATTAGTTAGTCTATAAAATAGATTAAAAAAATCACAGAAACCGTGAAAAATACTAATGACTGATTACGGATGGAAGATGAGTAACAGGTAGAACTGAGACAGACAGAGAGAGCAGGTCTCTATGAGTTTTGGACTCAAAAGGAGCAACAAAGACTGATTAGGATGAAAATTTGAAAGAACATAGGACAGACTGCCGAGAACTAGAAGAAGGTGGGTATGTATCACAGAGCTCAAGCAATATAAAAGATTATACAGTCAGATTTAGCCTGTAGTGATTATGTGTAAATACAGTCAGAGCCTGGTCAGATTCTACTTCACAAGTGCAAACATGACAAGAAAAGAAAGTGGGCGATGCTATTTTGAGGTTGGTGGTTCGAGCCTTTTAAAGCTGATGTGGTCATTGCCACTCTGCCTTTCATCTCCTCTGGACTGTGGGACAGCTCTATCAATAATTTAATGACACACTGCTTTTGAGAGTGTGATCGATGATCCCCCCCACACACACACACACACGCACACACACACACACACACACACACACACACTTTACTTTAACTTTGATGATGTGAAACCTCTGTTGACACCCCTCTTTTTCCCCCTCTGGTTGCAGATTTTACGGAGAGCTGATAAAAATGGTAAGTATTGCACCATCCATTTCCTTTCAGCCTCACACAAACACACTCATCTGTCTTTGCCATTATTTCAGCCTCCTCTTTCTTGTATGTGAAAAAAGATGTAAAAGATGTACTGTACTTTCTCAATGAAATTCTGATCATGACTCTCTGCTGATACTCTTTCAGTTTCCATGGAAACAGGAAACTGACCATGCCCACTGAGGTTCGGTATCAGAGCATTAGTGAAGAAAAACATCAAAACCAGTTGTACTAGTTGGACACATATGGTTCACACTTAATAGCAGGAGGGTCTGGGCAAATTCTGCTGTTGTTTCACGTCCACTGTCTTGTGCATTGTAAACATACAAAAATACATAGTTTATTTTGTTGTGAGCAAAGGACACCACGACTCTGAACCCAGGTGTCTGCCCATTCATCCTGTTTCCCTCAACATAAATCCTCTCTGGTAGAAATGCTGGGAATCTAGAAAGAAGTGAAATAACTCTGTGGATCTCTCACTTTTATGGCACGCAGGCCTTGCTTTATACAGTCAAGTCAGACTAATAGACTGCTCTGCTTTTCTTGCATTCAAAAACTGAAATAAAACTCCCTTTGAATTCCAGTAATAGCATTTTTAATCAAATCACATGTATCACTTTTTGTTCAAAAAGCACTTTCCTTCATTTTTGAGATTGTGATTGCTTTTTCTTTGCTGGAGGAAGGAGAAAAGATGCTTAATCAATCAAAGGAATAGTTTTTGGGACCTTTTGGGAAATATGCTTATTTTGCACACAATCACAGTAGTTATGCACATAAAACAGAAGAAATATAGACTTGAAGTATAAAAATATGCTTTGGGTTGAATTGACTTTATAGAGTGAGAGAAACACAAGCCGTTACATGGCCTGTGTTGGCAGCTGGATTGGTTAAAGCAGGAGTGTATCTGTTCGACCAGATGTGCATGACACAGACAATCATCTCATCTAACTCTCTGCAAGAAAGTTAATAAGCATATTTCATAAAACAACAAACCAGTCCCTTAACTTTCTGTTCTAAAAGTACTGTTGCCTGTTTTATATATACATTTATACATGTACATGTATGTATACATTATTTAAATGTACTTCATTAGCAACCCTGAAATGCAAATACAAGCATAATATGCACTTAAATGCTACAGTAAGAGATGTTATCTGAAGCTCTCACAGTAATGTGTCTAATCTCTCAAATGGACTATTTTCTTCGCTGGGAGAAAGAAACAATATGCCTCTGTGGATAACCTCTTTTCATACAATAACAGTGTTGATGCACTCTCTGCTCAAGCTACTTTTTTCCAGAAAAATTAAGTATCCTCTGATGTAGGTTTATAAACTAGAATCCTAAATCTGGACCGGTCTATCATTTCCACTGCATCCACTGTACTGCTGTGATTGCGGGCTATAAATCACGTAGCCTAGTTACCCTACAGACTGGAGCTCATGTAACCTTGCTGACACACACTATCACAGTAAAAGTGAAATATGAATATTTTCATTGTTGGTTTCACATGGTCACACCAGAAAGATTTGACTGTTTTTAGATAAGGAACTGGAATTAGGTTTTATCTGACGTGTTAACAGAAACCCTGACACTACACATCTTGTAGCATACATTTTAAACATACTGAATATAGATGATCCGAAATAGCTGCTCAGAATTCATTATTCACATGGCATGACATGCTTCATTATTCATTAAATGCCCATCCCACGCAGTGAGGGATTTGAGGTCTTGTCATGCAGCAAGATAAGAAATCATCCCATTTGTTTGTTTTTAGTGTTGTGCAAACAGCAGCATTTACATACAAGTCCGTTCCAAGATTATTTCTGAGCTCATCGACTGTGAGTCACCGTGTGCTTGTTTTACGCGCTTGTGTGTATATGCGTGTTTGCATTCGTACATCCTTCAAAAGGGGCTGGTGCTCACATCATCTGTAGTGGCATGACAGTCGTACTGAACCTCAACTCCACAGCAGGTCAGCAGGGAAAATTCAAAGATCAGGCACCTCATGTCACACAAAGAGTAAGACACTAGTGGAGCCACAATTGTGTGAAAAACATTTTGTGTGTGGATGATTGCCTTTATTCCATCTTTTGCTGATTCCGCCCCATGTTTTTTACCTCAATTTCCCAATGGAATGACAACGAATGAAGTCTCTGCTATTGACCAACTTCACATCCTTTCACCTCCATTTTCCATCACACCTACTACAGACACAAAACCGAACTGCTTATTTGATCTCGATTTGTCTGTGATTTATGTGAGGAATGTTTTTAGGAAATGGTCACCTCGCCTCTCAGGATGCCGCAGTCCTGACTGAGCTGTCCTGACACCTTGCTGACAAGTCGCATTTGTGCTTCTGCCCCCAGACGATGGGAAGCTTTCCTTTGATGAATTCAAAGCCTACTTCTCCGATGGAGTCTTGACAGCGGAGGAGCTGAAGGAGCTCTTCCACACAATTGATACCCATAACACAGAGTGAGTCAGTCAATTGCTTTATCTTATAATTATTTTTATTCCACTGAGGACAAAACTGAGATATGCGTGATGGATGAGAGGTGGATGTCAGTGAGATGGTTCATACTACATGCTGTTTGGACAAAATGAAACTGCAGTGGCTGCTTTAGCCTGGAAAGTCTCTTGGCTGTGAAGAGGCAGTGGACTGACATGTTCAGGAAGCAGGGGAATTTTTGAAAGAAGGTTTATTTGAAGATATCGTTCACAAAATCACAGCAGGTAATTCCCATCCAGACGATACATCTAGTTAATATGTGCTTCAATGTCTGGACACACTCTGCCAGCCTTGATGTTTTATAAGAAATTCTGTTGGATTTGTTTCTCATTGTATTATACCGTGTACAGAATATAATATGTAGCATCGAAAAAGAAAGTGGCTCTTGTCATATGAAATATTCAGAGGGATTGAGCCACATTCTGATGAGAATTTTCTATTTATTCATAAGCTCAGTATTGTTCAAGTGATGACAAGCAGACCAAGATGTGAAGAGAAGCACTCCGGGCAGCGTGGTTACGTGTTGTGTCTCTGCAGGACACAGGAGGCTTATGTCAAACAAATCTCTCCATTCGCCTGTCAGCCTGTCTCATATTTTTATATCTTATACATAAGGATTTAAGATAGGCTTGCACATATATTGCAGCAATGCAATACAATATTATTGTTAAACTATTTTCATTTTATTTTAGAAGCTCCCAACCATCTTCCATCCTCTGGCCTCTGCTCTCAACACTGTGTCGAACACATCATTAGACTTTCTACCCTTATGTGTCTAGTATAGTATATATATGTATAGTTCCATATATCCAGAATTACCCTAACAACCATCCTAAACACCATAGATACCACTTAGCAACACTCTAGCAATCAGTCAGAACAACTTAATAACCACAACAACCACTCAGAGACCGCCAGTGATGCACACCACTGCAAGATGTAAACCATAGATAATATACAAGGATATGAACACAGGCATGTATGTTTTGGATTTTATTTACGTTCTGTTTTTACTGTTACTTACTTGTTACTTGTTACTTGTTTTTGAGGGTGCCATATAATAATAATTATTTTTATTAGTCCTACATAGTACATAATACTTACTTGATAACCATTTTATTAATTATATAATACACAACTTTAATTTCCATGTCCCTACTCAATTATATTCTCCTGATACAAAGGCTCAAAATGGAGATCTAAATGCACACCATCACTGCTTTGCATTTGATGTGATTTGAATCCAAGGTCTCATTAAATCATTTAAATGAATGTGAATATTGATTGTGCCTCTTGTGCAGCCTTGTTCTGTAGGCAGCCCGTAAGACTCTCCCCCTCAGCAGCTGAATCCTGCTCACAGCCACATGATGGAGGCAGGGAGATCACTGTCAGGAGAGCAAACAACATGAGGTGATACAGAAGTGACTGAAAGTAAATTAATACTCTGTCATCGTGGAAAGACCAGTTATTATCCACTTATATTGCAGGTAAATAGTACTGTAGGTTATCGTCACCCTCGTGGAAGATGGAAGGTGTATTCTAGCAAAGTCAAACGGGGAGAGGGGGGTTAGTCCCTGAAGCTGTTGTCACTGTCCAACAACTTGAATGTCAGAGGAGGACTAAAAGTCTGCAGCCAAACACATTAACGTCATTGTACCGCTGGGACACATATAAATGATATCATTAATGTTGGAGGTATCCTTGTCATGTCACACTCAAGCTGAAAATCTTCGCCGTCCTTGAACCTGTTGACTCTGCTCAACAGGTCAGTTTTGGGTGAATTTCCCATTTGGTCAGACTACGTTGGGCATTTTGGTGAACTCACAATAATAAGATGAGGGTCTTGGACCATGAATGCAGTGGCCATGAAAAGCAAAGATGCCAGATTGTGCAGAATGATATTACCTGTAGCGCAGTATCACACAGGCTGGATATTTGGATGTCTGTGAAGATCACTGGTGAGACTGCCGAATCTGATGCTGGGTGGGTCTGTTGTCCTTTTTAGGGTTCACCCTTTAACAATTAGTGGCTAACTGTTGTGTCAGTCATTACCAAGACCTTTTTCAAGTTTCACTATCTTAATTCTATTTTAACAGTCCAGAGCACGGTCTGAAGCGCATGCCACAAGTTGCTGGTCAATCATGCAGTCGGTTTCCGCTGCCTCAGGATAGCAATGTGCCGACGACGCGCCTGACCACACCTCATTTGAAGACCAACACGCCAATGGGTGCTCAGATGGGCACAAGGGTGTTTTTCTATTTAAACAACGTGAACGCTGGACGGTCGGAAACTAGCAAAGACACTTCTGTTTCGCTTTGCGCCCGATGAAAGATAGGGCCCAGAGAGTCTTGGGTCTTACATACATAGGCTGCTTTTACTTGACTAAAGGATCTGAATACTTCCTCCACCACGGCTTTTATCCATTATAAAATCTGTTATCCTCATTATTAGTAATAATTAAATAATTATATTGCGGATGAAGGATTTGTCGTTGCAGTTACACGCAAGGACTCAAATGTGCAGAATGAATGGAAAGATGCACTCGTTCATCATGTTTCTAATAGCCTTTACAGTACAGTTGTATTCAGTGCATCAACTTGTGTGTGGTCCATTAGTAAATAATGTACCTTGAAATGTCAAAACCGCCAAGTTTCCTGCAAAACAAGTGAGAGCTTTTTTAGTCTGTTGCTCACTTTAGTGTCTAACCTCTGCTTTACCTCGTCTGTTCTTGTCTGTCTTCTGTGGCTCTAAGTGTTTTCTCCTGTTTGGACCAATTGATTGCTGCAGCACTTTCCCCCTTGTGAATGACAGTGTGAAATACAGTCAAAACCGGTGTCATTTCCCCGGCCTCATTCACTGTTACACGGGCGTCTCCTTTGTGTCTCTTGAAGCTATCTGTGCAGGATACAATGAATAATTGTCCATTTTGAAATGTTCCCTTCACCATTTTGTCCTCACCCTTTTCCTTTTTCTGTTTCTCTCTCTTTTTCAGACACACATACACACTCAGACCTCACTGAAACACACTCATGCTTTGACATTCGTCACAAACAGCCAAAATTCCCCAAGGGTTTCTGTTGAAGAACTTTCTGCCGGGCCTCTGGCGCACACCTCTGGGGTCAAAGATGAAACTAAATTATTCAGTTATTCGTCACGTATTTAACTCGCTCCCATTTGTCATCACACGCTGATTCATGAAATCAAAGTCTGTCCAGGAAAAGTTTTGCAGAGATGAAAGATTATTCCGTCACCTCCTTTAACCTCGGTAACATCTGTTTTGGAGAAATTCTTTTTTATCTTAATATCTCTCTCACTTTTTGTCTTTCAGTAATGTGGACACTGATGAACTCTGTGGTAAGTTGAATCTTAATCCAAATAAATGCAACTTTTAATTTATGCTTTGGGTTTTAAGTAATAAGAAGCTGGGACGTTCTTCTTGCTTTACCTCACAGTCGGGAGCACCACAGACTCAAACGCAGTCTGACATTTTCCCAGCATAAGGAAAGAGCCATGTTAGACGTAGTCACATGCTCTATGACCATGTGTGTGACTGAGGTGTCACACCAGTGCTGCTTCAACAAAACACCTAAAGCCCTGTCCACGTGTTTAACTTACAAAATGTTTCCTTTCTTTTTTCTTTTTGTCTTCCTGCTGTGAAGAGTATTTCTCCCAGCACCTCTGTGAATATGAGAATGTTCTCGCTGCCTTAGAAGATTTGAACATGTCCATACTGAAGGCGATGGACAAAACAAAGAAGGTAAGATCTGAATGAGCAGAGAATCTGATGAGCTAGGATCATTATTAACACGTGCATGTCCTTGGTGGACACTGGAGAGCCTGTCACCACAGTAAAGACAGAGTTAACAGAGCGTGTATGATGTGTGTGTTTCCCATTTGACTGAGTTATGACTTTGTAAACAAGGGGTGTGATGTTTGTGTCACTTGGTTGACAGAAAAAAAAAACCCTACTAAAAAAAATCTACTAAAATTAAGATGCCTTGCGTTTCTTTTCAGGGTGCTCACATCACATTCACATCTCATGCCGTGCACATAATGATAATAATAAGAGATGTTTGATTTACTCACAGTTTGGCCTGAGCTTCATGCTGCAAATCTCTCCCAGCATGCTCCTGTGCTGCCCAGCTTGCTTCCTCAGATCTCCCATTAGTCAGATTTCCATCACAGAGCCATAAAGGACAAACCAGGACTCATTCAGGGCTACTAATGAACCCCCAGAACAAAACATGTTATGATTCTTTTTGGGCCTGTTGCCAACATAGACAAGGAATTAAATGGGTTGTGGGTGCATTACTAAACAAATACTCCTTTTGATCATTCTTTATAGCCTCTTGATCTTACTGTGGCGCATTGGCTAAAGCCGAGTACCTTTTACATTATCAGAGAGGAGAAGAAGACGGATGAGGGTGGTAAGGGAGGGCGAGGCAAACAGGCAGAGATGGAGGTAAATGTTCAGAGACGACAGAAGGGAGAGCTTATTTTTCTTTCTGCCACCCTCTCTGCAGTGTCTCATCTGACACATGTGACACACGCTGTGAAGCTCAAATCGCCCCTCAGATCTGCGCCGAAACAGACATGTCACATTGAAAACAGAGTGTGGGAGTCTAGCCACTCATTTGTCAGTGGTAGTTTTTTATTGGCACAAAAAAACAGGTTACATGTGTCGACATCCAACTTTAGCACCTAAAAATTGTGATGACAAATGTAAGTGGTAACGGCAGATAAAGTTTTTGGTTTAGTAAATGTTCGGACACTTAATATGTATGTATAAAATCACTTTATACCATTGAAATGGGGTTTTCACTCCGAGCGAAAAGGCCTTCTTCTTGAAATAGATTTCTAACAAGGTTGGACCTGCAGGAGCAAAAAGGAAATGAACCCTACAGATACTTTTGCAATCCCCTCCGCAATCTCTCATAGACCTCAACATGCGCCGCGCTCCGATGAGGTGCGAAAATCAAATTGCACCTCAAATCATTTTCTGTTCTCCAAGAGAATAGTTGAGAGCAGGAAGTGAGACAGCAGGAAAGAAAGAGGAGAAACAGCGAATGCAGTGTGGACGTGTAGTTTAAGGTCTTGCTGTGGACTTTTTAAAGCCGAAAAGTCAGCTTTCACAAAGTACACAGGAAAAACAGGACAAATGCATTTTTTTCCATCAACACTCACAGACACGCAGTGTGAAATGGAAATCTGAGCTCAGATGAAAACAAATTATTCTGCACAAATTGAGCAGAACTGAGGAGTTATGGACCAAAGGAATAACTTTCAACCCAAATTACTACACTGGACTGTGGAAGAGAGACAGGACACTGCTGATGACGCCCATGAGCCTTACTCCTCGAAGCCTAAACCACAGTTTCCTCCGGTATGAATCGTGTGTGAAGCCACAAAATGAATCACAGCACAAGAAAAGAGAGAAGACATGTATGATACGCAGCATTTCTCTGTTATCGAGCATTGGCTGAGCAAGAAGGAGAACAGATGCTGCATTAGTCAGCTCAGTCGTCTCTGTTGAACTCTATATGTATTTGAGTGGGTGGTCTCTGGCTGTGGATGTGGGTGAGGGGGCTGGTTGCATGTGTGTGAGGTGTTTCTTTTTTTTCTTGCATTGGATGATTGTGTGTGTGTGGTGTGTGTGTGTGTGTGTGTGTGTGTGTGTGTGTGTGGTGTGTGTGCATGAGCTAATTTGTGTGCTGCGTGTGGTTTTGTGTGCACGCGTCAAACATCCATGCACATGTGCGGGGGAGCTGGAACTAGATTGTGCCTCTGAATCAGAGCCAGAGATGTATGCGTATCTGCTGGGCTACACTTGAAGTTTTTGCAAAGATATTGATGCCAAAGCTATTTACAGGTTTACCATACGCAACCTCCCTCTCCGGCTTTTATTACAAATCTTTCCTAGGAGGTCTAAGGGATTTCTCACCTGTAGCTAGGATATTGAGTTGAATACTCACACTTCACAACATTTTTTTCATAATGCCAAAGATTTTAATGCAGGAAAAAAAAAAGAAATACTTAATTACAGTCAACAAGTTCAGACTTAACATGGTGTGGTTACTAAGTGGAGATTTACACATCATTAAACAGGCTGCGCTTTCACATTGTCATTCGATATATTGTTACTGTATGGTGAATTTGCCAAATCAGTAGTTTGAAATAAGCCTGTAATTTCTAAGAACTTAGGAAGAATTTTTCACAAACAATTAGTAATACATTTATAAATAGCTGGAGCAACCCAGGTCCCAGTTCTGCCAAATCTCTCAAAGATGGTCTGTTAGAAAGCATTTCTCGTGTCAACCAGGTTATTTTTGACATTGTTAGATGACGATTTGTAATCAGGATTTTTTTTTTTTTTATTTTTAAATGAAGTGAAATCATTTGACAAAGGCAGGGTGAGGTATGATTTTGCAGCAGTGTGGGGAGTATGTCGTTACAATCCGGACTAAAAGGCTTAAATAGCGTGATTCGGGCAGCATTGTGGGGTCAGAGGCTATATGTCAAAAAAATGTGGAAAACTACACGTCACCGTCTCCGACAAAGCTCTCATTTGACCTTTTGTACAACTGAAAATGAAAGATGAAGGGAAAGGCAAAAAGGAAAAGAATCAGGCAGCTGTTTTGGTGAGGTGGACACACACACACACACACACACACACACACACACACACACACACACACACACACACACACACACACACACACACACACACAAAAGTACAGATCACGGGGGGGTAATCTATGCTCAGATGGTAGACAGGAGGCTGACCTTTACCAGTTTTGTCGTGACTCACTCTCACTCAGTGAATGTGCATGCATGTGCGAGTGTGTGTGCGAGTGTGTGTGTTTGGTAATAGTCACAATGTCAATCAAACGAACCCTGTGACCGACAACGATTCTGGGGGTTTTAAAACACGACACTGCTAAAACCGTGAGATTTTGTGTGTTTTGTTCTTATGGAAAACAGAGTTTAGGTTGTTATCTCTCACATTTTAGGACAAGCTGTTTAATCTTTGATCAGGTATGTTGGTGAGAGGACCGGTGGGAAAAGCCTGAGACTAATGACCTGCTCTGTATTCTGGAGAAGCTGCTGAGAGTTCAGCTCTCCCACTTGAAGAGTACGGCTCAACATACTATAATTAGGGTGTGTGTGTGTGTATGTGCACTTTAACAGGCTGAAAAACACATACAGCTTTTAAAATCAAACCATCTTCATTGTACTCTTATGAAAGCAGTAATTACCCTACAGACAAAAACACTGCAATATATTTAATTTCTCTCCTTCTTTCTTTATCTGTCTCACTCACACACACACACACACACACACACACACTCCCTTTCATGCATTAGTCATTCTCTAATCTAACTTGTATTGACGTTTCCCTTCAATCCTCTCATTGTTAGTCGAGTGTAGAAACAGTTGTGGTGCTGAAAACTGTGGGAGCAGGTGCATTGTGCAAACAGCAAACTGTTGTGCCAATCATCATTCACTCTCCTTTGATTAGATCCAAAACAACATCAGCCCTCCTGCTCTGGTCCAAGCAAATGACGCCTCTACAGAATGTCATTCAGTCTGATTTTTTTTTTCTCCATTAGCTTTCTGAACAAAAACATAAATGTATCTTTCACTAACAAAATGACAAATATTGCTTGGTGTGGAGGAAGTTATTTCTTAGATGCAATTTTGACGATGCAGGTGCAGATGATTGTTTCACATATTTGATGTTATTTTTCAAAAGACTTTTCAACATAATAGAAAATGTAAACACCTCCATCCACCACAAAAAATGCAGACACCTGCTGCTCCAGTCAGAAACAAGATGCATGTATCTTTTTTGTAAAAGTAACAGAAGAATTCTTTGCCTTCTCTCTGGTCTATGTCACATTTTAGCATCTTTTAGCTCATTGTTTTGGTTGTTTGGTTTGTCAGGTGCCCAGAAATGTGACGCCAAATGCATGATATGTTGCTCTGTGTCTGCTGGATGTGTAAATGAAGACAACTGTTTTCTATCTTGTTCTCCAGAACTTTATAAAGTGATCATTTTTCAGTGTTTACAGCTTGTTCTGCTCGCCTGTAAGTGGCCAAAAATTACTGTTTTGATACCCCAAGTTCCAAACTCAGATTTTACATCATGATATATTTTGTCCGTCCTCAAATAAAAGCTCTAAAGTTAGGCTTATTCAGTGCAATTTAAATGCTATAACAGAATGAGAACAAGATGCATATTGTGAGGAAGTTAGACCAGTTCCCCAGGCATGCATCTCCAATCCATTAAGAACTTGAATGAATGAATGAATGAATGAATGAATGAATGAGTTGTCAAAAGAAAAATGGATGAATTGCCCAGAAATCACATGTTTGTTGTTGTTTTGTCCTGAAGTCATTTGACAGATTGCTGATATCAGACCAGCATGATTGATCAGACACAATTTATGGATTTTAACAAATAAGTGATGTAGAATGTGAACATCTTCTCCCTCCTGTTCTTCCTTATGCAATCTTTTCTAAATTAATGATCTTGTAGGCATCTTTTAATTAGGCACGTCTGGGCATTGAGTGACTCTTGGCTGGCATGTGAAACTTGTCGAAACTCCCCTTGTTCTACTCCATCGTTCTTAATTCCCACTCCTCATCTTGATTGACAGGATTATCAGGAGTCCACCCACCTGGAGCAGTTTGTGACCCGCTTCCTGCTGAAGGAAACAACCAATCAGCTTCATTCACTTCAAAGCTCGCTCGAGTGCGCCATGGAAACCACAGCCGAGCAGACTCGCCAGGAGAAGTAAGAGCAAAGATCTCTCAGGTCCCTCTCTCTCTCTCTCTCTCTCTCTCTGTCTCTCACACACACACACACACAGACACACACACACACACACACACAATTAGTCTTTAAAACACAGACAAAATGTATTGTACAATGGCACCCATAATTACAGTTCTCACAGCTAGTCTAATAATTTGGTCCAAATCACACACTCTAATTTACATCTCATATAAATGATGCTTTTATCCAAGGTACCACGCAAAAAAACAGTTTCTTACCCTGTATTTGTTAAAACCACCTGCTCTTCCCTGTGATCCAGCAGACATCTATAATCCTTTATTTATTTTATCACTGTGCAGATCCTCTTCCTATGGGGCAAATGGAAGAAAGCAAATTAAAAAGGGATTGCTGTTAAGACTTGAGAGAAATGAAATATGGAGAGTAGCATAACACACCTGAATACAATGAAGATGGTTATATGTCAAAACAGAATCAAAACACTGGAAAACAAAACAAACCAGGTGGCGGTAAATACATGCTGTTGATGAGTTATTTCAGTCTGTTAATCAGATGATGCCTTCTCCAACTTTGTCTTAATTTAACTAAGATATACTAAGATTAATGAATAAAGTGTTTGCATCACAGCTCGACAATTAGAATATGACCTTAATGTGGTCATGATGAAATTATTTGCATGTTTATATATGAACTGACTGATAATGAACACTGACCCGCTGGGTTTCTGTGTGTGAGCAGCACTGATGATTAAACCTGAGGCACAGTGTGTGTGTGTGGGTGAGTGTGTGTGTGTGTGTGTGTGTGTGTGTGTGTGTGTGTGTGTGTGGGTGTGTGTGTGTGTGTGTGTGTGTGTGTGTGTGTGTGTGTGTGTGGGTATGGGTGCATGATGCAGTATTCGATCAGTCTAGTACTGCATTCAGAATTCAGGCACGCCCCTGGTGTGCTCGGTTCATTAGTAATGATGACTCACCAGTTTATAAGTGCACAGGATTTCATATGCAGCTTGCGTGTGTGCGTGTTCATGTTCACAGTGTATTTAAAGAATAGGTGATGACGCACAATCTTTTTGCATCCCATCACCTGTCTGACTTCACTCTTGAGCTGCAGCTTCAACAGCTAACCAGTGATTTTTCAGACTTCTGACAACCCCAGAGGAACAAACTTTGCTCATGATCCTTTATCACCGTGTTGATCTGGTAAAAATAGTAAATGACAGACAGCAAATGCCGCTCTATTCGCTTTCTGGCATCTGTAATTGAAAATATACTGTTAATGGGTGTCTAACTTCAAAAAGTTCTTGTCCAATGAACAGTGTCTGAGATAGAGGTGTACAAACGAATCATTATCTAGGAATCTTCAAAGTGAAGTGACTATACCGATTTACCATTGACCAAGAGCACCACTGTTAGCTCAGCTGTGATTCACACTACATTACTTTCTCATTAAAAGAATCTTAAAACACTGTGAAAGCCACAGAGTCATATTTGATTACTCAGTCATAGATAATATAGATAATTAAGCTATTAACCTTATGTACAGTTCTTGTATGAGCTGGTTTTGTACTGAACTGGATGTAGAGTGGACTAACAACAGACTGAATGTACTGCTGAACTGAAGACTAAAGTCGGGCACAAACTGAACAACTGTAAAACATGACTTTCATCCATAGTTGCATTTCTAGGTCACTGAAACACAAAAAAACATTGTTTTAATTCGGGTGCAGAGCTGAACTGGAGAGAAATTTTTTTTTTTATAAATTTAACCAACTTAGTATGAGGCGTACTCTCCAGCACTGTTCGACCATCCAATGAGCAGTGAGTTTTGTTTGAGGCATACTGAGCTGTTAACTTTCGGAAACAGACAATCTGACGAGCACATCCACTCAGTGATCCTCACAGTGATTAGCCAGGTGTGCAGAGGTGGGAACGTGGGCAAGAATTTAACTTAGCTCTCTTTTTTCATTCCCTCTTTACTTCCATCAGTTTTCGTGTGTACAATCGACCAACATAATGCATTTGCAAAACTGTGCGCCTCTATCCCCTTTTTTAAAGATCATTGTACCTCGCCTTTCTGTATGACAGCCCCAACTGGATGGAGCGTGGATAGTAAACACTTTTACCTCAGACGTGTTCAGACAATATGAGCTGGTTCATTTCAAGCACAGCCCGGCCTTTAGTATCCCTGACTCTGCCTTTGCTATGTTCGTCTGCTTTATGTCCACAACTGACAAAATCATGACATACTATTTCAATATTTCTCACAAACTCTAGCAATAATAGTTGTTTTTGTTTGACATGTTTTTGCATGAGTTCAATTTAAAAGGATCCCTGTAGGATTCTTTGTGCTCTCTATCGTGTCCTTTTCTCACCATCACCGTGTTTACACTTATTCTCAGAGGCAGAAAATGATGGGCTTGGATAATCAATATTTGAGTCAAAGAGACCTTCACAAACTCTCCCTTTCTTCCCTTCCTCTTTCCACCTCCTCTAAATGTCTCTTTCTCTCTATTTCCCTCTCATGTTATTTCAAAGTGTTACTGCCCCTCGCTCCCAGAGCAGCTTCCTCTCCTCCGGCATCCAGCTCTGAATTGCCACACTTGCAAAAGTCCCTTGTGCACCTGAATGCAATCACTGTGTTCTTCCAAACATCTAGAGGATCTGGCTGTTTCTCTGGTGGCTTTAAATAGGTTTCTGTGGTCAGATATATATGTGTGTGAGGAGGCTGCCTGTGGACAAATGGGAACTCATATTCATGGAGGCTGGGGAAATGGGAATTTTTTCTTGGGCTAGTGTCACTGCATTTAACAAATGCCATTCTACGCTTTACATACAAAGTATATAGACATTTGACTGTAGCTAGTGGATTATTTAGACTTAATTTCTCCCAGATGTGGAAATGGGGATTTAAATATCTCTTATGGAGTCATATGGTTCAACCAAACTCTTCTTAAAAAAGGAGATCATTTTGAATGAGCTGGTAGGGCTTTCAGTATTTTAGAGGAAGCATGGTCACAGTTCTTCTTAACATTTAGATTGCAGTCACCTCTATATCTGATTACCTATATCTGATGTACCATATGGTTAAAGTTAAACAGCCAAGTGCTGGATATAAAATAGTAGTTTGAAGGAGTAGTTTTGGGGAATTTTGCTTCCCTGCTGAGAGTTAGATGGTGGTGGTAGGATTTAGAGGTGCTGGTCGGTGAATGTTGTTTTACCTCAGGACATAGTGAATTTGCTTTTATCTAAAAAGTGTAAACATGAACTATTAAACACCATTTATATTACACATGTAAAGGGTAATGAACTGGAATTGTGCAAAAGATAGCTGTGTAAAGTCTGAAAAATCTAGAAAGAGTTTGCTCCACGAAAAATAATAATCACAACACTCACGCACATATAAGTGTGTGTGAATTCACCTGCACAGACACACGCATCCCCGCAGTCACCCTGAGGTCTTATCAAAATGTGGGGCCGAACAACTTGACAGCAGTAAGACAAATCTTAGGTGATGTCTCCCTGTGGCTGCATGTACCTTGTCACTGGCATTAGCATCACCCTCAGACCAACACGACAAAGCCAAGACAAATTTAGGCTCACAAAATTTGTTCTCAGCTAAGACATACATTCATGAGACTGTGGGCTTCAGTCACTTGGCTGTCATCTTAAATTGTATAAGGGAGAAAAATGTGAGTGAGAAATATTGTCAAGTCCTGAAACATTTCAGTTGTATGTCTCAATCACACAAATGCAAAAATCACAAGTGATCCCTCTGTCTTTTTTTTTTTTGCACAAATGAGTACACACAGATGGCACTTTAATTACAAAGTCACATTTTCTGTTTATCATTGAGAGTCAGCAGATAGTTGAGACCAAATTGTATTGAATATTATTTTTCATTCTGGGGCCCATCTGTTATATGTTGTGTGCAGTGCACCAGATAAACTGCAGAACAAAAGGTCATTTAATGTGAGTTTGACAGAGTGCAGCGTGTGTTCACAGTCACAACCATTTTAGAAAATGTGCTAAAATATTGTGATGTCAGAATAATTATTGTCCTGTTCTGACTCCAGACAGGGCCCACTGAAGCCAGAGGTGCTGTCCATCCAGTGGTCCGGTCGCCGCTCCAATCGGAGGCTTCAGAGGAACAGCAGCCTGTCTCCCAACAACCCACTCCTCAGTCTCGTCAATTCAGGTGAGTTTATAAGTTTATTCTGCTGTCTAATGCTGAGTTTGAATAATAAAACATCACTGGGCTCTGTTGCCTTATATTCTGTTTAGTTTCGTTCCAGTGTTCTACAGAGCTTCAGTATTGGGTTACATCGCCTTGCCGCCAGCAGCAAAAAAGCTGCTTGACCAGAGTCAGCGTGTCTCCACAGGCCAGAGAGCAGAGCACAGGAGGGGGTGGGGGTCACGTAGGTGTGAGAGAGAGTAAAGTGCGAGACAGAGAGAGGGAGCTTAAAGAGGTTGGGGAGGGGATCAGCATGTTCAGAGAGTAAACTATGTTTGTTGGTGATTTTCTCAAGTGTGCATTATTTTGTTTAAAAGTGCAATTATTAGCCTGAGGATGCACCCTGCCTCAGCAGCCCATATTAGAGGCTCTTCTTCTGAGCAAGCAAAAGGAAATTAAAAAAGAAAAAATAAATATTTGAGGAAAGCAGCTTGATACCTTTGCACCTTTAGTGGAATAAAAGAATATTGATCAAGCCAGTAGCCTTGTTGGATGCTTTCTTTGTTGCAGTGCCATTTGGTGTTGTAAAGTTGAATCACTTCAGACACGTTTCATTATAACTTCAACATAATCATATCCATTGGTTAGGGGCATTGATTTTTTTGTACACTAACTGCAAAACAATATCCTAAGAACATAAAGATGTAGGCCATACTGTATAGAATTAGTTTGAATTTGGACATGCATTATTATATACTGTACATGCCCAGATGTCCATTAGAAAAACTTCTACTGCTACTGTCATGAAAAGGTGGAGTAAACAGCTGAATATCTATAGTTGGTTATTCGGCTCTGCTTGACTGTAAAAGTCCCCGCACGTCACTGACTTGCACACAGTCAGGTCTCCATTACGCCTGCATTATGGCACCAGCTTCGGTTGCTAGGAGAAACAACTGCAGAGCCTCTATAAACTTCGATTGCAAGCCTCAAAGCTTTTCTATTGATTGGCATGGTTGTGCATTGCATAAGATGAAAGGAAAAGTTGAAATGGCTTCTGGGACACCGCCATCAGTGGAGGAAAATGTGTTTAAAATACAGTCGATGTATGCAGCACCTTTCATCCCTTCACGTTCGTTGTTTACTCCGTCTTTCTGAAATCAGTCCTTCTCTCTGTGTCTCCTCCAGGTGTTTATGATGAAGACAGCCAGTGGACGGTCCAGGTCAACAGACTGCAGAAGCTTATAGACCGCCTAGAACAAAAGGTGACGTCCCTTCTTTCTTTGCTTCTTTTCTCTCCAGCTTCCCCATTTCTTATCTCCATCTGTCTCCTCTCACCAACCCGGCCATCTGGTCTTTACATCCCTCTCTCAAATTAACCACAAATAATGGCAAGTGGATTCACAACAATTATCAACTAATTAACTCAACCCAACAACCGCCTCCCACATACCAACACGTACACATATGTGCAGTATACGGGAAATATCGGCTGCACAAAAGCTGCCGTATCTCCATGTGAATGTAACGTTAAATCTGTTGTCAAGATGTTGTAGAGCTCCAAATATGGAGCAGCTTCTTTATTTTATTTTATTTTATTTGTCCTGAAGAGGGAAGTTGGTTGTGCAGCTGCGAAGTAGAAGAAGAGTGTGAACATAGAGTACATAAGCTAACACAAATTTGACACAACCGACAAGATGTAAAATTTGGACCCAGTTTGGATATACTGTATGTGATAGTGTCACGGAGAAACAAAATATTGTGATGTTATAAAAAGGTAGTGCCATAGAGGGGAGATACATCCCCTTATGGTGGCTGCAGCAAAGACTACAACCCATCATGGCTTCCAACAAAAGACTACAAAACCCACAGTCAGCAGGTCGGTTAGGACAATGGTTGCTGATTGCTGTGGTGAAGAGAAATGGTGTATGGGAGGCAGATAAAAGCTTTTCTTATAGCAAGGAACTGATTTGGATACCTGTGTTTTGGTTTTGCTGATCTTCTGCCTCAAGAGAATTAAGTTAGCCTGTTTTGAGAAGACTGAATTAATTGAATTTAATCTGAAACGCAGCGCCCCCACTGTCCTCACTTCCTGCATCCACGCCTCAAACCGTCAAAAGAAAATCTCAAGACATCACAACATGTTTTTATATGTGTTGGTTTTGGCTAATGGGGAAGTGAAGCCAAAGATAAAACCTTTTTTCATTTTTATATTCATTAGATTTCTATTAAGCTCAGTTCTCATTTTTAGGGTCCCAAAAAGCAGCACACAGGCAACAAGACAAGCCTCAGTTGAGAAGTAATTTTTTATTTTCACTCGTGTTTATAACTTTTTTTCTGCTGCCCCCAAGTGGTAAAAAAAAAAAATCAGTTATTATATGTTTAGATCTTAGCATCATATCATCTTATATTTCCTCTTGTTCTGCAGGAGATTCGCCTGGAGCCTGTTGAGGAGGAGGTCTTGGAGAGCAAATCGGTAAGTTCATCTAGTTTCATCCACTTTTCCACTGTTTTTGTCGTGGGGACACTGTGTGTGACTCTGCTATCAAGTAGTGGAGTATAGTGCTGAGAGCAAGGGCAAACCAGAGTCCTTCGGGCTTACTCACAAAGTCTCTGGCCACACTGATAATAGGCACTCAGCGGTTGTCATAGAAACAGCGGGGCTGAAACTTGTCAGGAGCATTTTTCCCCCCTCTTCCTTTGCTCTGTCTTTATCTTTAATCTTTCTGTTTAAGGTCCAGTATTCAGTTTTCAAGAGGAGGCTTGTAGTCACTAAGGGAGCGGACACAGAGGTGTGGGGGCGAGTGAAAAAGGAGGAGAGAGAGTAGTCGCTCTGAAATAGCTTAACAAATCTATTGCCAATTACAGAATTTTGCATTATAGTATATTGATGGTATAAATACTAGGAATATGTTAGGAAATATATATATTTGTTTTCCCCACATGTGTAAACCTACTGACAATTTAAATGTCCTTCAGGCTTGTGTTTGTGTGTAGTGTGTTTTTAACTATGCTTACACAGTGCGCAGGTGTGTGTGTGTGTTTAACTTCGGTGTCCACATGCTAAAACAAAGGAAGCGTGTTATTGTCGCCCAAGCTTCATATCACTCATTTCATGGCTGAGAAACTGTCTCTTGCTGTCGAGTGAGTCAGTGACATCTACATCAGACAAACACAAGCACTCACGGGAGGATTCCTCTTCAGCTTGAGTGTCTGACACAATTATCTTATTTGTTGAAATACTGACCGACAAATTAAAGGTTACTATAAATAAAAATGTAGAAAGAAAAGTGTATGTAAAGTTCTCGTTTTACATGTGTGGAATGTAAGAAAATATTGAAAAATGTCTATTACAGTTTCCCGGAGCCTAAAGTGAAGACTGTATTTCAGACTGTATTTTTATAGTTTCATTTTCAAACACAGAAACAGAGAAAAGCAGCAAAGCCTCACACTGCAACCAGAGAATAATTTGAATTTTAGTTTTTTTAAGTGATCGATTATCAAAATAGTTGCAGATTTTCTTGATAAATTCTTGCAGCTCGTGTGAAATCATTAATTTCACGTGACATTTTTCATAAGGAATGGTTAGTATCACAGCACAGTAGTCACCATGGCTGAAGCCATCCATATGAATGTTACATGTCACTGTCAGGTCATCATCACTAATTTCATGCAGACATGTCAGTGTGTGTGAATGAATCAATATGTAATTACTTTAACACTGTGTGTCAACGGGAATAAATGTGTTGCTGAGAGAAAACCAGTAATGACCCACAGCACAAGACTGATGATGGTGTGACTGCGTGTGTGTGTGTGTGTGTGTGTGTGTGTGTGTGTGGGTGAGAGAGAGAGAGTGTGTGTGTTTCTCCCAAATTAGTCACTGAGAGAGAGTCCTGAGGCATTTTATCAGTCACACACACATCATTAACATACACACTTTGTAACTTAGGCCAACGGGCAGACCATTCACTTCCTGTTCCCATCAGCCTCTCCTCATCATCAGCCACAGGAAATGATTAGCCGGCTTCCTATTGTCATGATTACAGGTTTTCCTGTATCTTGTTCCCTGCTGTTCACACCTTTGTATAACGAGCTGCAGATGAGCAGCTGATGGTGTTGCCCTACAACGGTAAACATTGCAGCCCTTTCGGCTAACATTAGCTAGCGTACTACTGTTGATGGATATTAAAACTGACAGCTAAAATCTCACCCCCAGTTCTCGCTGAGGAACAGACAACCAGTGTTGACCGCGTTTCCTCAAACATTTTCTCATTCCGACTTGGTTACATTCCTGCTTTTGTTTTTCGTCACTGCAAAGTAACAATACCATTACAGTAAGTTGTTACACCACAGGCTCTATTTTTGTTTACATCTACGTGAGCTCATGTGAGGTGGTGCACTGCTCCCTGATTGATCCCTCTGGCAGGTTAATCGTAATAATATCCTGTTGTATGTGATGCACCATTATTTTCAATTCTCTTAGTCTGTGCATGTTTGAGATTGGAGAGAAGAGAATCTGTTAAATTTCTCCTTATGTGTGTGATGCAACCCGGTTTCAAAATGAGTTAAAGATTTTAAAGCTCCTGTGATCTGAGCCAGGCTTAAGTATCCATAAAGATTTATACTTCATCTTCTTGGTCATTTTCTGATCGCACTGGGGTACATAGATTGGTAAATTTGTAAAGAAATTGCTGCCAGGACGCAGGATTATAGATATTATAAAAATTAGAATAAAAGATTTGTGTCTCCAGCTTTCTGGTAACACACTGCGCCAATGTGAGACCCTGCCCGAAATTTCTGAACGCCCCTCAGCTCTGTCAGAAGCAAATTGTTACCCTGTGTGTGTGTGTGTGTGTGTGTGTGTGTGTGTGTGTGTGGTGTGTGTGTGTGTGTGTGTGTGTGTGTCTCTTCACAGCACATCCTGATAGTCCAGAGGCAGCTCTCGGTCTGCTGGAGGAGGAGCTGGAGGAGTTTCGTTTGGCTCTCAGACAGTACATGGAGTGTGCCTGCGCCCAGACTGGATGTCTACAGTCAGTTTATATTCTCTTTGTTCACTTTGTACAAGGAATTTCTGCTCTTTCTGTTTTTTTTTTGTTGTTATTTTTTATATTTTGGCAAAGGGCTTTATAAAATGGGTGCAAAAACAAAAATGAATTCAACAGAAAAAACAAAACCCATAGAGAAAGAAATCTAACATCATATTCAGAGCTGTAAATTAGCAGGTTGATAAGATCTGATTTAAAACCTATTCTCATGTAGCTGCAAGGTGCGTCATCATGATAGCAAAGTATTTCAAATGTTTTATATAAAAAGATTGTACTAAACGTTTACTTTTCTTTTCATACTGTAATAGAAGATTGCTTACATTTTCTGATAACTATATACCATAACATGATGACATTACAAATTTTATCCCAACATATACAAAACCCAATGTTGGCTTGACGTCAACCTCCAACGTTGGACAGACATTTAAAACAACTGAAAACATGACCTCCTTAACGGAGGTAACAAATGCAGTATTTACTCCTGTGCGATTAGCATTTGTTAAAAAGTAAAGTACCCAGAAGTCTTCAGGGAAAAACAGCTTGACAAATGAAAAGAATATATTTGTGATGTCTTTAAGGATTTACATCTTCAGTAGCAGTCGACAGGCTTGGGGCTGAGTGCCAAAAGATGTGCTGGAGAAGTCAACAAGCATTAAGAAATGGACATTACTGTTTTATTTTTTTGTTTTGTTTTTTATGAGATGTGTTGACAATGAGAAAAATATAGAATTTCCAGCCAGAGCCTTTTAAAGTGGAGGCAGAAGATAAAGTACCCATGTTTTTCACACAGAGTCGTTGTGCACGTTTAATGAAATTCAAACAGTAACACCTGCGTCCGTGTATGTTAGAATCATTACAGTCTTTGCACTCTGTACTGTATCTAAAGGATAATGGCATTCCTGCTTGTAACTCAAAATCTAGATCTATTTGAATCATTTCCTCATATGACTCATATGAGCAGTTCTGAGCGGTGGCCCTCTTCTTAATGAATTATATCAAGAATCGAGTTTGCAGGGTCCCTAACTGGTCCATTTAGATCATAATCTAATTGAAAAGACTTCATGAGATAAAACAAAATTGAAGGCTTAAAAATCAAAACTGGGCCACAATTGACTCTCCTGTCAAAACCTAAGACATGCTCTGGTTTTAGTATTACATCCGACCGCAACTTGTTGTGTCAGTAAATGAAAATTGTGTTTTCTTCTTCTGTCACCCTAATCGCTCTGTGGTTAACTTCAGTTTTAGCAGAACAAGCTGAATCCCTCCCAAACACAGTTTAACCGCCTAAAGGACAGCGTGACATTTACAGGCTTTGTCATGACCATTTCTCTAACCAGTCACGTTAGCTCATTTTTCAAGTTAAAATGAGACTAAAATCTGTGACGCAACACTTCATCACAATCATAATTCAAGCCACAGAAAATATTGTGCGACATATTCACATTGCCTGCACTCAGTCACAGTGTGGAAAACAATTCAGACAGGGAGGCTGTGTTGGGGGACATGATGTAGCACACTAATTAGTGACTGCATGAGTTGCGCTCTCTCTTGTTTTGCATTCGGCAGCATCGCAGTTCAGCGGCTGGCAAATGAATCACGCTTCATTCTCTATGAATTCTGGGAGCACAACAACGTGTGGAAGAAGTAAGTATTCATTCACACCATATGCATCATGAACAATGCATAATGGCCTGCTCACATAAATTTCAAATGGTTTTCTGTGAACTCGCTGAGAGAGGGTCTGGTTCACATTGTGTATAGTGACACTGAATCTGAAGCTTTAATGAAATTAATAAGAACTAAAATTACTGCTTCGTGGTTGTATGCCTCCGACACTCAAACTAGTCTCAGGTTACATCCCTATTTGTCCAGAATCATATAAACTATTAACCATTTGTTAAAAGTTTGTCATAATTTCTATGTGAAGTCTTCAGTTATGGCCAAGATCGTGCTTTGTGAGGTCACCGTGACCTCGACCTTTGACATTTGACTGCCAAAATCTAATCAGTTCATCCTTGAGTCCAAGTGGACATTTGTGCCAGATTTGAAAGGATTGCCTTGAGGAGTTCCCGAGAGATTGCGTTCAAAAGGCCATAATCCTGTTTTGTGGGGTCTCCATGACCTTGACCTCTGACCTTTGACAACCAAAACCTAATCAGTTTTTGTCCTTGAGTCCAATTGAATGTTTGTGTCAAATTTGAAGAAAAATTCCCTCAAGGCGTTGCTGAGATATTGCGTTCACGAAAAAAAGCAATTAGAGAAACTTTGTATTATTTCAGGGGTTTTAATTTGTTCGCTGTTAATAGCAAATAGCCCGGCAGAATGATGTCATGGCTAAATAGATTTAACAACATATGAAGCCATCTACTCTGTCCATGATTTTTTATGATTTTTTTCCGTAATTTAATCTTCTCATTTCTGCTGTCCAGTCACTTGCAGACCAACTACAGTAAAACCTTTCAGAGGGGGAACGTGGACTTTCTGGAAACTCCTGAGACCATAACCACCATGCTGGTTCCAGGTAAGAACATTCATTAAAGCTCAAGTCGAACCTCAGATCTACCATGTCTGGTAAGATTAAGATAGCCACTTCTCTCTTTGAGGAATCTTTGTGTAGCATGTTCTTAGGAGAAAACTCTTCAGCATCAGACACTATAATCAATCCCGAACACATGCTGTGCAAACAAACACTGTGCACAATGCAGAGAGAGTCATTTTAAATTCAAGCCAAAATGCCAGAATGTCATGCTGGGAGTGTTTTACATAAAGCATAAAGAAGTGCTGAAATATGCTAATTAACAACTGTGATCATACATTTGTAATTTTGTAAATGTAATAGTGTAACATTAAATTTATGATATAACTTTTGTCATTCTCTATGACAACTGAGGAACTCAGGAGGAAGGCAATGAGATGCAATTGAAAGCTATGGAATCTAGCAAGTTTGCTTGTTTTTGTGGATCGATATTGTTTGTAGCTCTAAAGCTAATTATGTAAAGGATCACTTGACAGTTAGATGATCATCTTTGTCCTTCAAATTTGCAAAATCAAATCAAAGATGTTATGCTTTCATTACTTTCCATTCTTCATTTTCCTTCCATTCTCTTTTTCCTAATTCTGCTTTTGTCTATTTTCATTACCTTCGTTTTCCAGAGCTCATGTCTTAATCACTTCCCCTTGTGTTGGTTTATTACAATGAATTGGTCTTAATTGTATCTAACGAGTACAACCCGCTCCACGTACCCCCATCCACAAGGACTCAGAGCAGAGGACAGTGCTGAATAAATTTGTCAGAGTTTACTTTGACACACAAACACACAACACACACACAGAGTGCAGAGGAGAGGGTGCTGTGTCTACTTGATTGGGTTCGCTCTGTGAGTCGGTGCATTTTTTTTTGTTTTACTTTATGTGTCTCCTCCACAGCCTCATGGTGGGTCCTTAACAACAACTGATATGAGACAAGCACCCACTGATCGTCACTGATGGGAGCAGAGAGCAAACAGTCACCTGTCAACACAGGTGACATCAGGAAGTTGACAGCGGCGCTCGCAAACACACACACACACACACACACACACACACACACACACACACACACACACACACACACACACACACACACACACACACACACACACATACACACACACATACACATACACATACACATACATGTACACACACACACATACAAACACAAACATACCCACTAACTCAACACAACTCGTTAGTCATGGTGATTTAGTATAGATCTTATGACCTCCATGTTCCTTCATAGTTACGTGGTAGCTGAAATAACTGTGTGCGTGTGTGTTAGTTTACACTCCTAGATGACGCCCTGACGTCCTAAAAGCAATGACCTCATCAGATGGAGACCCATCTGATGATCTGACATCATCACTGTGTTTGACTTGACATCATCTGCAGCCTGGAGTAGATCAAGAGAGCTGGAAGCGTTTGTTTGTGTGTGTGTGTGTGTGTGTGTGTGTGTGTGTGTGTGTGTGTGTGTGTGTGTGTGAGAGAGAGAGAGAGAGAGAGAGAGAAAGAGAGAGAGAGAGACAGAGAGAGAGATGGGGTTGAATTGGATCAACTGTAGCAGCTCTGGGGAGCTCATTAAACCATTACTCTGTTGTTTCTGTATTTAATGTGTCAAATTTAGATAAAGATCTGTTGGTCATAAATAAAGATGATATATTGTTGTGTATGCCATGTGTATCTCTTTCTCATACTTATTTTTATTGTTTCTCACAATATCTCAAACACAACATTAAAAATTGTGTGACAGGCAGGGGATAATTGGATAATTTCTGTATTTTCAAATATCAGAAATAGATTTGATTCCAAATCTTATTTAATTAAAATTCATAGTGAGAAACGGTGCTGTGTTAGTTTGTAAGAGCAGGCTGATGAATGGCTCATAATCTGTCTGTGTGTTTATGGCGTTAAACTGACCCAACGTGTCTTGCAATGCAACTTCCAGAGAGACATTTTTTCAAACGATTGCATACACCACCACCTAGTGAACAGAGAGCAGAGCTGCAGCTGTAAGAAAATTGACTTAAAAATTATTCTGGCTTTCCCATTGGACAGGAACAAAGCATTTATGACGAATAACCACTAATTAAGTGTCAACTAATGATCACATATCAATCATATTAACCTAATATTCATTTTATAGCCCCTAAAAGCTTGGATTGAAATCTAAATCATATCCACAATTGAATCAAAAACTGTGGATCCAACATGCAGTCAGAGTCAAAATCAGTATGAGAATAACAAATTATTCTTACATACAAACTATATTATAGATTAATCTATACTATATATATATATAAATTAGACAAACTTATATATACTTTGCATTTACGGCAGTGATTGTCGTAAATGTAGCCCTCAGTATTCAAAGTTGCATATGTATCAGGGGGCAGTTACAGTGTGACAGTAACCGGCCACCACCGTCACTGATCACAGTATGGATTGACTTGTTATATTCGAGTTTAATTTTTCATCATAATCTATGATCTGAATCATAATACGTTGTTGTCATTTTAGAATAATAATGATGTCCTAAGAAACTGAAAATACTAAGTACTAAATGTGTATATGTGTATATGTAGGAGTGCAGTACAGTGTGTACTGATGGGAAGTTTAATCTGTAGTAATTGCATTTTATGAAATCATGTTTTTTATGAAAAATTAATCTGGAAAGTAACTAGAGCTGTGAAATACACAGAGTGGAGTAGAAGTTTAAATTATCCTTAAACACTGCAATACAATACTTCCCCCGTGTACTTACATGATAAAGTGCAAGTGTAACCTTTAAAGCTCAGAGATTCTTGACATTTGACAGGTGACATTTCACTCGAACATTAACTTTATGCTTTATCATTAAAGGCTTTGGATTTGACCTGAGTGTGCACATCTGGCTTGTTCCATATTTTATGTTTTGGCCTTCTTGCACTTGAGCATAAAGGAATATACCAGCAGCCACTTCAATATGAATGTCTGTATTCCTGTATGTGCCATTAAAAGCAAAATGTCCGAAACTGATCACAGCCAAGAAATAAACAGACCAATACAGGCAGTTTTTGCATTTTATTGATAAATTATCATTTTTAAAAAGACCCACGAGCCATCTTATCCTTCCACCTCACACTACAGTTTTCCAAGTATTGAATTTGAACTATATACAAAGAGCATTTTTAATATTATTTTCTGCTTCATCATTATCATCATCATCATCATCATCATCATCATCATCACATTCAAAACAAGGTTAGAAGTTTGAACTGTGCCCACTTGTAAAGGTCAAGAGACAGGATGCTGAGTTAGCGTACAGCGATGCTAGCTAGCACAGAGTTCACTGGAGGTCAGAGAGTGGCGATTATAAGCGAGGGGAGGAGGAGGGTTTACATTCTAATGGACAGGCAGAAGGAGCAAAAGACAGGAACGTCATACGTGTCAGCTACCTCACGGAAACAGGAAAAAAAAACAAAAAACAAAACACCACCTCAGTGACTGAACAAAAACCAGTCATCATGCAAATGTGAGCCACCATATTTTTGGGATCATTTTCCACCAGTGAGAAGGCAACAAAACCGCAGTGAAGAACGCAGGGAGGTGGGGTAAGCAAAGTTCAAAATAACTCAAATAAAAGGGTTATTGCTGTAGTGAGTTAAAAGCAGCATGTCACAAACAAATAAACAAGCTCCTGTTGATCTGATGCTCTTCTTGACTAATACTGGGCAGCTAAGTTGGCACGCATGGGTATTTAAGGGCGATTTCTTTTAAAAACTGATCATTTCAAGAGTTAAAATCATATAGCAATACTATGTCAGTGTACACAGGCAAGGTAAATTGTTACAATACAGTATGAATATGCAGCTTTCTGTAGCTGGAGTTTAACTAGCAGCAAAACAACACTTACAATTGCATATAATCGTAGTGCAATGGGCAAAATGTTCTTAGGAGGTTGTCTCATTTTGGTCTGGTCAGTAACAAAAGAAATCAGGTGGGTACCATCGTGTCAGTCAGGCTGCTGAAAAATAAACAAAACTATGATCCAGAAAGACCAAATCCATCCAGTTTGCTAAACTATCATTTTCAAATCAGCACAGTAGCCAACAAATTTTTGTATTCATCAAGAAAAATCAGTTTTTTTTGTAGCTTGGAGGATTTTGGCAAAAACCAGAGCGGGATTTGAGTCTCTGTGGACCAGTAGCAGGATTGATCGGCGTACAGTAGGTTTGTTCAGCGAGTTAAAAACATTCCAGACACAAACACAACAGGATACATCTCCAGCATACACCCCTTCAAACACACACAGCACCTCCTCAACACACTCTGCAGACGTTCCACTCCGCTGAACACGACCGGTTTGAGATCTGAAGAAAATAAAAGAAACTAAAAAGTGGGGTTTGTTCTTCCAGCCGTGCAGGGCTGCGCTGAGGCGTGCCCGCCCTAGGCAAAGCTGTTCTCCGGGTAGCTCACTTTGATAGCTCCCCAGTAGCAGGCTCGTATCAGGCAGATCAGGCCCAGCAGGTAGGCGAATGCCCAGGACACATAGGTGGCGTTGTAACGACTGGCAAAGTCCCGAGTGCCAACCTGTTAACGCAGAAGGGAGGGGGAGTAGGTGGGTATAAGACAGTTAACATTGAGAATATAGATTTTTTAAATCATTGCATTAATAATTTTAAAGAGACTAAACAAAATGAAGACCGTAGTCTATTATATCATTTCATTAATGAGCAGAAAAAAACAACTCATTCAAAGACCAATGATTGCTGTGAAATACTCTCCAGAGGGTAATTCATAATATCAATCACTTCATCAGAAAAATGAGAGCACACTGCAACAAGATCAGTAACACTGAGTTTAAATATTAAGGAGTATAATCCCATGAGATTATTATGGAGTGATTATGTTTCTAATATGATTATACCAAGTTGCGAAAGTCTGATAGGACTTTGATATACTGTGGAAAACTGAACAATATGTGGTTGTTTGTACAAAATACAGTTATTGTTTACTGAACAGTTCAGTGGATTAATGGACCAAAGTGTATTTGAGGTATTTAGTGTAGGTAGAAAGCCATTACACAACCTACTTACAACTGTAAAGCACGTGTACATTTCTTCATTGTATAGCATCATAAGGTTTCTCAGGTCAGCTAACCAGTTTCTAACAGAAATCTCCAGATCTTGGAAATGTTGATCTTCGCCTGTGGTGTGGCTCTCTAGGTGGCAGCGTTGCTCCATCCACCTCTTTGGGCCCGACTGAATTATCTCAACTACTGGGTTACTCTAACTGAGAACGCATATGCAACACAGAAAGGACACACAGAAGGCACATACTTACTGTTAAACCCACTCCAATGAAAATGCAGATCATTCCTATTGTTATATAAGCACAACAGCGCCTCCTAGGGAGCGCACTACCAACAGAGGATCTGCAGGTGGACATCAGGAAAAGAAGAAAAACAAAAGAAAAACAAATGTGGTCAGTACGTGAAGAAAAGGTTTCAGGACAAAACATGCAATGTGCACTTTAAATGCTGGATTTGTCTTATGCCTCAGTGCTGAGAGAAATATCATCTCACTCTGTTGTGTGTGTATTTTTATGTGGATATGGTTAGAATCACTTAAAATGAAACTTGGATATCAGAAAGCTCTACATGAGCTAAAAGAATCCAGTACAAGAGTCTTGCAGCAAACAGCACCACTACATTTTCTGTTTCATTATAATGTGCCAGATACTTTCTTTGTCCCACCCTTTTTCCCAGTGATCTCACTCCACTCCACATCACCCTGACAATCCTGCGAGCCAACAAATCTCTCACTTCCCTTTCTTCTCGTGTAACTTACACATGAAAGCACTGGAGGCCAGTCACATGTGCAGCTCCCCACAACTGCAGCTCCATCCAGACACACATTCACACATGTACAAGTCAACTTGCCCTAAGCAGCACAATGCCATCATTTTTTTTTTTTTTGCTTCACTATTACTTTACTTTCCTCCCCCTCTTCGCTCTCACATGCCTCTCATGTGATGGGACTCAGGCATTCTTCAGGAATCACTGGTATTCAGATGGCTTATGGGAGGCCTGATCACCTGATCATCTTACCTTCTAAACACTCTCCTCCTGCTTTCACCTTTTCCCTTTGTTCCACTAACTGTTTACAGTTACAACACCTGACCATGTCATTCATTTGATCTGTGACCATAAATGGAGCCTCTTTTCTTTTCTCAAATTTTACATTCTAAGCTACAAATAAACATCATCACATTATCGCATTACAAAATAGGAAATAACCAGAAATGACAGTGTGTTTTCCAGTGTAATTAGGGGTTTTTACTTTGGAGAGGTGCTACAACACCAGAGGTATCAATTCCCTATGGGAATTAAGATAAAATACCAACAATGTATCTCAACCGCCACTGCTTTGACTTCTGTTACTGTATAATGGAGAGAAAGAGGTTTTCATGGAGTTAAAGACAGTGATGAAGGGAGAATATGAGAAAATAATGCTCAAAGATAAGATAGAGAAAGATATAGAGACAAAGATGGAAACACTGACAAGAGCTAAGATTTTGCTCAGAAAGATACAAAGAGAGAATCAAAGATCTCTGTGTTTGCAGGCACGTTCAGGTTCAGGTACGCTACATTAGCTATAAACATGGGTAGATTTAATGGTCTCCCTGTAGCATGTTGCTGATTTATGTGAGGCTGAAGACAAAGTCCATTTTTTTGCTTATGCCTACATGGTTGGTATTATTTGTGGAGGACTTTTTTGTAAAGTTTGTGAGAGGAGACAAAGTTCTTTGTTTGTAATGTAATGTTATATGCAAAAACTAATGTTTTTCCAACAATGCAATGCAACCCCAAGTTCACATGTGTAGGAAACACACTACTTCGACTGCAGATAAAGAAAAGGATAGATATAAAACTGAGATAAAAGTCATACAGAGAAAAAGACGTGGGTAGATATATATATATATATATACTGTCAAAATATAAAATGAAATAAATAGAGTGGAGCAGATGTCGAGACATGAGGCAGAGACAGAGGCAGTGACGACATGTTTTGGCTGCAGCTTCTTATTCTGATGGAGCGTCCCTGCTTACCCTGACCAGACACTGTTCATATCATCACTTTCAGACATACACTTCACAATGCTCTCCCGCCACTCCTCAACCCTGTGACCCTCCTTCCTTATTACCATGTTACCATTATTATATGAATTGAGGCCAAGCTTTAATTCCTGTCACACAACTAGATTAGCTTCCATTACCTCCCCTCCCCTCCCATCTCCTCCCAAGAACTAGAAAAGTCCAGAACTCTAAAGCTCGGCATCTGACTGCAGTGAATTTATCCATAAAGTAAGCACTTCGAAAATTACTCCTCATACCAAACCACAAACCTTCATGGGTGAGAGTTGATGCAAGTGCAGAAGTATAACACTGTGTTTTTAGTGTTTTAAAACATTCCACTTCCTCTAACCTACAGTATGTACCTGGTGCTAAATTACTGCTCCAATAAGATAAAGGCTTTAAAGCTGGATACTGTATGTTGGGACATGTTCATCATAATGTGGCAGGTCTCTTGAAATTCAACAACAACAGCATTTTTCTTGTTCATGGCTGCCCGCCCACCCAGTATCCCCAACAAGGCTGTAACATATTCACTTGTAGTTTCAGGCTTAAAAGACCGCACCAGTGATTTTGCATGTTTAAGCCCAGTCTGCCGATCCCTTCTACTTTACATCACAACTAACCATTTTACAAACCATACGTTCTGTGTTTGAGATAATCTGATATATTTTCGGCAGCCATTGGCTTCCATTCATTTCTGTGCAATATGAAACTGAAGCTGCAGCTTCACACAACTTCACAGTCAACATCTAGTTTAATTAACTAGTTTAATTTAGTTCAATTAGTTTAATCTAGTTTAGTTTCATTGAATTAGTTAAATAAAGATTACACTATAATTAGACAACGAGACAATTCACTGCAAATCTTTCAGCTCAATCAATTGTAAAACCAGGAAACAATAATGTAACCTGTAAAAAGTAACGCAAACTTGATGTGTACTTAGACGATTACACTGCTTCAGCAGATCTCATGAGTCTGGTTATTGATTTTCATGTCATACAGGAATAAATGGAAACCAAACGCTGCCTGCTGCAGGGAAGAAAATCTGCCTAAAACTTGAAAACACACTGGTATGATCATTAAAATTCCTTTACAAGATTAAATTACAAACTCTTGGTGTCTCATCTGATAACACGTTTTGATTCAATTTTGCACACAGTGTCCATCTAAAGACTGTAACAGATCCTCAGGCAATAGAAAATAAACTGCAGATAAAATGTAAAACACTGAGTGTAAAAGTAAAACATGTTTCATCATGACCTTTGTGTAACGTGTTAAATGGAAGATTAATGGACTCACATTTTTTTGCAGTGGGGACATTTGGCTAGCGTGTTAAACCGAAGCTCCATCCACTGTGAATAAACAGGGGGAAAAAGCACTGGTAAGAGACAGTGTTAAGGAGGACGCACGTGTGAACACAGATATGCAACAACACACTACAATCCTACTGTACTGTGAGAACAATCAACAGAGGACTTACTGGGAATGATTCGTCGTGATCAGTTATGGCGGTTTGCAACTTGTAAATCTATTTATTATATTATTCCTGCATCAGAAAATATATTGAGGCATTGGAAAGCTATGTGGCTAAATTAGCAACTTAAATCATTCTCATAAAGTGTTAGTTGTGGTTGTCAATATGCAATTGTTTCATCAGGGGTTCTGAAGTTAAAAAAGCAGTGTTATGAAAATGTTTATCCCATCACAGATCAGCATAATTAGAAGGTCCTATTGACACAAGTTAAATATGTGAGATTCGACATCTGGCTTCAGTGAAGGAATGACAATTTAAAATAACATCAAGTTATAATGGATGCACTGACATCTAGACTATAGACCTAGATTGAAGCCAGTTTTATGCATTAAATATCAAACTGTCTTTCTTTGACTGAAGCTCGCTCCAGAGTCAGATGTGCACAAAGTCATATCACCACCAGTGCAAAGAAGGCCACAGATTGAATTGGCAGCAGTGTTAGGCTGTTGTTAATATGTCCACAAGTATGACCAGCTTTCTCAACCTCTTGTTGTACTGGGGGAGAGCCATCGCTGGGGAGGCCAGACATTGGCTGGGATGACCTGGCGTCCTCACTGCCCTACAGACGCCGCAAGCAACAACGTGCACACGTTAAGAGGTCAATACCACTGATTTTGACATGTGAGCCAGTGTCATGCTGACTCAGTGCCTCGGGTTCTGCATCTCTCTTTTTAATAATGTGCCAGATGTTAAATAAAAGTTTGAGGTATTAAACTCAATCAGAGTTCAACATATCGCACGTCAAAAGTACTGATAGTACCCTCGGCACCGGGTGGCAGGAAGACAAAATCTGGTTTTGCTGCAGGTTAGACGGATAAAGTTAATTTCTTGTGACACGGTGTGGCCACACTGCAGTCAAGTGGTACTTAGGACATTTGATGAGTCAGGCAAGGAAAGGAAACATGCTGCAAAATGCATGCCACCAGCCTCTTGCAGACACCATATTCTGCCAGAAAGAGTCTGCAACACGATGGAGGTTTTCATTTCATTCAACAGATCAGAGATTGTTAAACAGAATAGAAACATGGTACTAGCTTTTATTTGTGCTTGAGACTGACTTGAATAAGCTTCTCCCTGACACCAGCTCTGTGCATGTACAGTAAAGCAAGCTAGGAGATCTGAAACAATTACACAACTTATAACACTTCAGCAAATCTAATGATATTCCATCACTAAACACATTGATATATGATGTGGCTCTCGTGTTTATATGCACGTATCAACAACAGCACAGCAACAAAATTCTGCCTGAATAAACTCTGTGATTGGTTAGGGTGGTCGTCTTGGTAGCTTTACGTACTAGGAAGGTGTTGCCACAGTGACCGCAGACCACCCTCATCCCCTGAGGTTGGATGGGCAGTGCCGGCTGGGCGGGTTGCTCCTCGGGGATCACCATCACCGGGCTCAGGTTAATAATGCGTCTGCTGTCGGATTCAACACAGCCAGCACAGGGTTATAAAACTATAGAAACGGCTTGATTTGTATTATAAAAGTCGACCACTGTATTGTCAGAGCCTCAAATTTGCCTTTGGAAAAGAATTAAACCTACAAGAAATGAGAAGTAAGAGGGTAAAACAGTCTGAGCTCGTCTGCCAGTTGCCTACCAGTTTGGTCGAGGACATCCTATCCTCCTGGATGTGTCTTTACAGATGAGCAGGCAGTTACAGGGACACCTCACATACTTCTTCCCCGTTGGGGGGTTCTTGATGGGCTGGAAGACAACATGTAAAACTCAGCTCACTGGAAAGTGCCAGTCTGATACAGAACATAAGAAAACAAAGCCACAGAAGAGGAGAGCAGTTCAGATACTGCAGACGTGACACAGCAAAGTCTGTTGGACCCAACAGGGTGGAAAAGGATCAATAGCTTTGCTTTTAATCTATTAAATATATCTTAGCTCATCAATCAGCTTCGAATGGCTGTATTATGTCCTGTGATGCTGTCATTTGAGAAGCATCTCTAAAGCCTCTGAGAGTTACTATATCACACTTGGAGCTGTTTATGTCGATCTACACTGGGCGGGCCAATGACAGAAACTATAGTTTTGCAAAGAATAGTCTGGAATTAGTCAGTACCAAGACATTTTTCATGCATGTACCAAAGTAAATCACAGAATGAATCTTGCATATCACTCCAGCATTAGATTTACAGTATGTCTGGACTGTCCAGTGAGCTGATAGAAGATGCAGGCCGGACACTGTTATCTGTTTTGGTCCACAGAAATAGAATATTATACGGCTATGCTGATGCATTAGTAACACAAATATCAGCCATTTGTCATTTCCCACTGCAGTGTCTGTGATGACAGCCATTCATTCGCCCTGCTCTCCTCCCTCCTCTGACAGCTCTATGGAGGCCTTTAGTAAGTCAGGCTGAGACACAGGCGACACTTTCAAGTCACTGGGCTGACTGAGAGATGTGACAGATGTACACATCAACATCTGGTTGGGCTGTAGTGACGGACATCGCAAAGATGAAAAACAGTCGTTGACTTCCAAAGCAAACGGCTTCTCTTGTGATCACAGACAAATCACATGTTTCATCAGACAACATGATGCTGCACAATAAAAACAGAGGGAGGCGTGCAGGCTACAGCTGGATGTGACCGCCATACTAGAAATGCACATGTGATAATGAATAGTAACTTCAGTGTATATGTCTGACTAAATGTCTTAACTGAGCTTGACGGACTATTACAGCTCCATGATGTCAACACCAACACTCATTTATAAAGCCGTCGCCGGCCTCAACAACATCCTCCGCTTACCGAAGCTTCATTGCAGACCGTGCACTTGACCACGTGCTGATGCAGCTTTCCATCCAGGTTGATGAGCGACTCGCACACGCGGCAGTTGATGACAGGCACACCGCCGGCGTCGGGGCTGGCGATGGCTGTGTAAGGAGGAGGTAGTTCGGCTTTGAGAAGAGGAGGGCAAAGCACACAACACACAGCGAGCTGTTAATCGCATGCATCTAGAAAACTTCATGAACACAGATCAGGATTTTAATATCCTGTGAAGGAAAAAAAAAAAAAAAAGTTCAGATAGAGGACAAGTCATTTTTGTGTTTTGTACACAGAGGTCGCTGGGCTCAGGGCCTCAGGGCCTCAGGGTGCAGCTTTCGCCTTCCAAAGAGGTTCTGACAACACGTCATATGAACTAGTTCTTTTCTGGCATAACCTCACACATACTCGTTCAATGTTTACTTCCGGTCTTTTAGTTCAATAAATGTAAATAATAAGAACTAAAAATAGAGATATACTCAAGTGCTTACACAGCTATAAAATAACAGATCAATGTCAGAACACATTATAGGATAGGAAATTGAGGGGAGCTCAAAACCACACATTGTATACACATATGTTATTTAACAATTTCCCTAATCAACTCTTGGGAACATGGGAGATATCTTAAACGATCCTATGTGCAGTCACGCTCCACGACAATGTCAGTGCTCTTTCTTCATTCATGGTTTTCCAGCTTAACTCCTGCTCAGCTATAAGACTGTCTGTATGCAAACCCATGACAGCCTGTGTACGGCTCTGATTGCTCAACATGTGACTCTTCTCTCTTTGTTATGGGGCCAAGCTCCACTCTGTATGTTTAAGAAAGAAACAATGGGCCCTTTTAGATACCGAAGTGATGGCGTAAAATCCACTCACTACCAAACTGCAGGCAACATGCAACATACAGTACGAGCCAGTCTTCTGAACGAGAGGCTGTGGCATTTTGAGTCAGTATCATCAACATATTATGATGTAATATTTGTGCTTCAGTTGCAGGTAATATGATACAGTATATATATACATTATGCAACATCGCTAACATCTGTAAAGACAACATGAAGCAAAGGGGCAGATGTGTCTCTGCAACTGTTGCATGTTACACCTACAATGAGACACGTGATTAAGATTTGTTCATTTGTTCAGGTGTTGCATCAGTTGAATGTGCTGCTAAATTAAAATGTCTCCGCTAATGAGCCTAATAAACTCCTGACCATTTTTGGTTTAGGAACCTTGAATAGCCGGGCCAACAATTAGTGTTTTACGGTCCATAAACAAGTGGAATCAACATGATCAAATGGCTGGTCTTTACAGACTTAAAGATTTTCTCTTTATGTCTGAAAGAACCACTGTGAACTAACTACAGTAGCCACTCAAATGAACTCTGTACTGTCTAATCCCACATTAACCTGGTGTAATTAGTCTACATTCCATGTGTTTTTCAGGGTTTTAATAAACTTAATCCGTAGACTTGCACCAGTCACTACCTTTACTACTACTTCTACAGTAATCAAGCATACTTTACATTCTGAGGGATACAAAACAAAGCCAAAGTCTCTCTGCCGTCATCTGTCATTATACTCAAACTGCAATCTTAGAACTTTAAAAATTACCTGCTCATCTGTAAAAAATGTGCGAGTGTGAGATTACAAACAATAATTTCCATTAAATGTTGATTATTCTTACAATTAGTCAATTAACTGTAAAACTCATGTATTTTGTAGACTAACGGATCAGTCTGTAAAACGTCGGAAAATACTGACCAATGCTAAATACAATCTGCCACAACACAAAAGGTGACATTTTCAGGTATCTTATTTTGTTCAACCAACTCTTTATAATCCAAAGATTTTCAATTTACAATGAAAAAAAACAGAGAAAAGCAGAGAAAATCCTCATATTTAAGAAGCTGAAACCGGAAAAAAATAAATAAATAAATAAATAAAAATCCATTGTAATACAGTCTCTTTTAATACTTAATACTTTAAGCCTGAAATCGCAGTCGATCGATCACAAACAAGCCTCTTAACTCTGTTGACAAATGCCCAATTTCCCTCTTGAGAGATAATGGTACGAGTCAACGGGCAAATGACCTGGGCTCTGAGATTCACATGCGAACAACCGGTTGACACCACAGGGGCAGATGGGACACCCCGCCTACATTTGGGAAAACCTGGCTAGTAATACAAGCACAGCATGCCAAAGACTGGACACTCATACTGTGTACAGGCACCACATGGTGCTGCTTATTACACAAAAAAGTCGTGTCATCTGCTACTAAGAAGTGTTAATCCAAAATGTAAGAGTATTCAGATCTTGACTTTATTCTCTTCTTCAAATTTAAATCCTTACATAACAGCAAGAAATAAAATCGTGAGCCACCAGCATTCAGGCCTGTTTCTACTCGCTCCTCTCTCAGCTGTGTGCATCGGAGACGTGCTAATGCATAGCTGAAACTGAATATAGCAGCTATAGGTTTTCACTAGCTGTCCTAGGAGCCAGTGGTAAGACGAGAAGATGCTTTACTACATCAACGACCAGCAGCAGCACCACAACATACAGCCGCCATCGCGCCCTGCCTCACCGGTGCCATCAATGACTGGATGATTGTGGAGCCTGTGGTTTGTGGTGAAGAACTAGCTAACTGGTATGCACACACACAAGCTGCTCAAATGTTCTGTCTTTAATTCTGTTTCAAAAGAAATAAATCATCAATCATCAATGTTTTTCATTGTCAATAACTCTAAAATCAGAAACGTGTAAGTCCATGTGTCAGTGTCTGTGAATCTGCTGTGTCACAGTCCCAAACAGATGCAAAAACTGGTCTCGCTTTTAAAAAGGTTCAGTATTTACCTTAAACAGCTGGGCACTGTAGCTTTTGGCAAATGTTACTCATACAGCAGAAAATACTGTATTTGTTGGGAACTATTGTTAGTCAAAGACTAATGCAAATTTGGTCCTCCAGTATAGGAGGGGTCAACATGGCCTTAAAACAATATCACAATACTGCAAATAAAAAAGGGTAATAATGATATTTATGATGGTATAAATGGCGGTGTTTTTCCTCACATGTTCCCTCCTGAAAATGACTGACTGAGCCGTTTGACGCCATTTTTCTCAACTTGTAAAATTACTTCTTTTTTTTTTTTTTTTTAAATCATGTTAAGATTCACTTCAGTCTTCGTGTACAATATGATGATATGACACACCCCTAATAAATATGTGCGTATTTACAGCTTCAGAACAGTGTATGTGGGACTGGCTCAACATAAACTACAGAGCCCATTTTCATGAGGGACCATGTGTTTTTAACAATGGAGGTCTAAAGACGAATAAGACATATCAGACTTGAGCTACACAGACAATCCTTTGTTGGTTCATTGTTGGTTTTTGTCTTCACATGCGATTTGTTGACAGTAAGAAAAATATCAAGTATCACCAGACTTGTTCTTTAATAAATACAGTATTTGGATATAAGGTGTGTTGTCACAGCAGCACAGTACAAACTGAGGTAAATGCAGGTTCCTGACTCCAACCTTGGATGACTTCGCCCCTTTGCAACCATCTCAGGTTTTAAGACTGGATAAAATGAGTATTTTGTATGTCAGTAAAGCACCGAGAGTGAAAGTAGATTCACTCAAACACAGAGGAATTCATTTATCACTGTTCATTCATCACAGGCTTTTCTTGCCATCAGTTTTTTTTTCCCCCCAACCATTCAAGTGCAAAAACATCAAGCAAATGGCGACAAAATCCAAGCACAGAGTCTTGATGCAGCCAAGGTCGTTGGTCTCCACCCCTCACCAACACCACACTGTGCCCACAGTGAATCTCTACCTGTTACTGCTGATGAACAACTCTGTTCATAAGGTAAAATGAGTCATGATTCATCACTGTTGTGTCAGATACATAAAATATTAAGGAAATCAATACAGCAGAGATTGCAGTCACTTCCACAAACAGCAGCTTTAAGTCATTTCTAAACAAAGCTCACATTCACCTAGTTTCCTAAGCGCATCTTAGAATCAGTAAAAGCAGCATCATAGTCATTATATTGTAGGACAAAATCTCAGGTTTGGCATCTTTGGCTCAAATTAATCCATGTTACAAATTGGCTGATTGAGGATTGTCGTCGAACAAACCCAAAGAAACTGGAATTAGCCATAATCCAGACTGCGGAGAGAGAGACAGAGAGAGAGAGAGAGGGAGGGAGAAACTAGGCCATGAAACATACTGACATTCATTCAAGCGTTTGCTGTCAGTTTACAGGTTATTACAGTCCAGTGTTAAAGTCTTTATGATTAATCAGGTGGTGAAGTATGGACTCTGTGAGATTAGACCACTTCTAAACAATAAAATGTTCATTTTCAACATTCGTTCGCTTGATATTAGCCGCTTGTCCTGAAATGCTCCTAAAAGAGTATTACACAGTCAATGAATCCATTCATTTGCAAGCAGAACATTTGTATAAGCCCATAACAAAAAGGTCAAATCAGTGAAAAAAAAAGGGTCCAAAGTGTACGGAGCTAAACTTCCTTCAGATTTTATGTGAATGTTAGCTCTAAATGAGAAATCTATTCTGTTGCTGAAACAAGGCATAAAGCAAAACATAAGCCTCTGACATGAGAATCAGATATGGACCTTTCTCTAGAGTGAACTTTTCTCAAGTGCGGCCTCCAGCAAAAACAAACAGCATGTGTAATCATGTCTCCTGCATCAAAAATTCAGAGTTTGATCAGACTAGATTCAGTGCAAAGGCCAGCGCTGACAGCAGCTTCCAGACCCAGTGGTCAGGGGATTTATGAGCTGTAATTGCCCGAGTCATTCAGCCCTACATGTATCATGGTCCTGTAACCTACATTCAGCTGTTTACTAAGCAAAATGTTTTCTGGCAATAAAGGTGCTTGTTTGTTTGTTTGTTTGTTTGTTTGTTTTTACCTTATGAAAGATGCAAAACATGCAGGAATGTTGAAGCTGCTTTTACAAGATCAGGGCCAAATATATGTTGTTTACAGTCTCATATCCATGCAAATCAGCTACAATCATACGCATGGACCATTATGGCATTTAAATCATGTCGTACTATCAATTCGGCCCCATCCACAAAGGGCACATCTGGGCATTTTGATGATTTGCAGCTGGGACAAAAGGCTGCTAGCCTGCCTTCATCTGCAATGGGTCACCCCCCCCCCGTCAATCAAAAACACACAAATAAAGCTAACATGCAGTGAGGCCTTTCAGTGCCACATCACGATTCGTATTTTTTATTTTTTTTTTGGTGAAGACTCAAAAGCATTACAGGCCCCGGTGAGTCGTGATGTAAGCATTTCTGCAGTAAAAAAAAAAACAAAAAAAAAACAGAGGTTGGTGTTGTTGTAGGCCCCTCTTCTCTAACCCACTGCTCCAGTTCTCACAGTGGAAGCTCCACCTTGTTCTCAGCTGCCGATTGATTTCCCACCGATGCCCTTGCTATGCTTTGCCTTGCCTTGCCTTGCCTTGCTGCAGTTTTATTTACGCACTTGCTCGAACTCGATACGCCCCAAAAAAAAATTACTCTGCATGCAGACAGCGGGGCTCTACATGCCGTGTGTTTACCTCGGGGACTTGAATCCTGCAGGTACGGGGGAGCAGTGGGGGTCACATTCCCGGAGTTGGGGCCCGACAGCAGCGGAGATCGCTCGTCCATGCCGTCGGAGGCCATGTCGTTAACCGAGAGAAATGAAGGGCAGAGACACGGCGGGGAGGCTCCTGGCTGGCTGCACCGAGTCTTCACTCAGCACGGAGGAGCAACCAGCGGCTGGTTGTTGATGCCGAGTTGCTCGCTCCGGTCCAGCAGCCCCAGTGACGGCAGCCTGGAGGAGGAGGAGCTCCGCGGCGTTCCCCGCCCCTCACTGGCATAGCCCCGGGCATGGGCAGTGCACACATGGAGCTAAATACTGATCACAGAGGACACTGATGGAATTTTGTCTGAAAAAATATGTCAACATATTCAACTGAATTTAAGTTGTTTGCAGCCTGTACATGTACGGACTATAAGACAACGGGCCCCTGGCCACAGTCATGTAAAATGTCTCCAGTCCCTCCCCAAAAAGAGACAGCAAACAACTACAGGTGGCATGTCTGTGTATGGTCTCCCCTCTTTGTGGTCATCTTGTGTTTCTTTGTGGTTATTTTGCGCCTCTCTGCGGTTGTTAAATGTCGTTTTGAGGTTTGAGTCTCTTTGGGGTGATTTGACTGATTTTCCAACAAGAACTGTAACTTCAAACAAAGGCTCTGGCTCAGGGGCCCACTGACCCCTAGGGCCCCGGAGCATGTGCCCAGTAGGCCCGTTCAGTAATCCTTTCATAAACACATGCACAAGATTATCTGAATTATTTGGATTTTAACCCATAAATGATCTATATACTAACTGTATAAAACCCTGCTTAGAGTGTGTCTTTAATGCTAGTGGAACTCAACTGTAAAAAGCAGTGACGCTGCAGTTTCCAGCCTTTGCCACTAGATGTCTCTGTAGGATTACTGAGCTCCAGGCCTGTGAGGCCCATAAATATTTTATTTATGATCTAGACCAAGACAGTGGTATTTTTATTCCATTGGCTTTGTACTGCTGCAGGTTGGATTGAAATCAAACAATGACTGTACTTTTTTATGTTTTTATACTTTAGTGTGACCTCTTTACCTTGTTTATCTTTTAGATGATACTTTATTTGAGGTTTGTGATTAAAAGTGATGTATATATATATATATATATATATATATATATATTGATCTGGGTGACCAGCTGCTGCATACACAGACATAAATAAAGTTGTATTTAGTTTGAACTGAAGTGACTGGCTTTGAACTTTGAACATTTAATCTGCTCAGATTCAGCCACTGTATCAGAGCTGATTGATCTGAATCAAACCGACAAGCAAGGCTGTAGTCAGAAGTTTGGAAACACCCTCAGAAGTCTTTCTTGCCTTTAATGAAAAACTGACCTTATTACGTTTTGCAGTTATGCTTTCTGTAAACTTTGTTTCCCAACACGAAGGTCTAAACGCTGCTGTGAAGCTATCTCTGTACTGCCAGGGATGAAACTCAGAGGGAGAGATGCAGAAGTCTTTATTTATCTATTCATTTATTGACCGAAAACTTGTCTAATTTTAACGTAATGAAAAGTTAACGTCATGAATCTAAAAATACAGGGAATAGTTTATAAAATACCCATGTGTTAGTTTTCAATTGTCAAATGTAAAGACTCCCAATATTGCTAAACAACACCAAATTTACACACATGGAAAAAGCAAAATACCAATGACGTGACTTCAGTGTCCTCAGTGGGGGCTGCAGCCTTTCAGACAAGCATGACCAAACAGCTGAATGTTCTTGAACCAGTCAGTCACCTTCCCTGAAAATGAGGGACTAAATAGATCTACAGTTCCTCCATGTTTCATCTGATATGTACGTAGAGCTGAAACTTAGCATTTTATCCACTTTGTCCTCATGTGGTGCTGAGAGATGAGCAGTGGTGATATAAAGTTGACTGGTTGTGCTTGATTCTTAGGATTGCAGCCATGTTGCCTGTTCTTCAGGAAGCTGCTTTTTCTGTTGTACTCATTCTTTTATATGAACTTGATAACAAATGTGGCCTTTATCTACTAAATACTGTGATTCTGTTTCTCCATACTGTCACTTTACTGTCAATTTCTCTGCCTTTCTTTTTACTGAATACATATGTGTTTTTCTGGCTCTTCCTCAACTATATATTTCACAACTGAGTCAAAACATGACTCCAACATCCTCATCTGAATAAAACTGTTCACCCTTTGTTCCTAAAATGGTTTGAAAATCATTACCAGGACTTGAAAACAACATCTGGTTGCCACCAGCAGTTGTGTGAACGGGGCTGTAGATATCTGATAAAACATTTTAGAGTTCCACCCTTCTTCTAGGAAACCTGCTTAAAATTCATCCTGAGATTATCTTCATGTTTGAAGCTTGGCGTTGTTTGCCTCATGTCCTTTCCTCCCCTTAAATTACAACACCCTCACTTGTTTATGCCAAAATATGTCTTCCATTCCTTATTGCTTATGTCAGGGTGTAAACCACAGGCTGTATGAATTAATCCTCAGGCCATTCAAAAGACTTGCTAGATAAATACCAGTGATGTGATTTAAACAAGTTCCTCAGCCTTTGGACAGACCATGTACTTGTACTTCCCCGTTTCTATAAACAGAGAGATAACTTGGTGTTTATGCATAAATCTGTTCTTTTTCAGTGCACAGGTATGACTGCAGGATGTTTAGAAGATATTTAGTTTAAAAATTGGGCCAAATTCAGGCCTGTTGGTCCCGTTTAGGACATTGTAAAATGGCTCATAAATTCCAGGACCATCACACCTCCAACCACTCCATTCACACAGTCTTCACTCATAGTCTTACAGGGGAACCAAAAAGCTGCAAATTGAAACATAAAAAAAACCTTAAGCGCTATCCAGCATAGAAACTTAGCCTATATCCACATATTAAGAAGGCATAGGTTACAAAAAATACCTGCAGACACCGTCTCTCTCCAGCAATCAAACTAAATTTTCCTCATTTCCTCCATAGACTCTGGGGGAAAATCTTTGCTCCTGGCTCTGGTGTTACCGGGCCAGTAAATGGTGATTCAGATCGCATGTAACAGGCTGCACTCAACGACTCATTTTTTCCGACGACTTCAGGCACCAGAGGAGCGTCGCAGGACTCACAGACTGGATCGTCGCTGGCGTTTCTTTGCAAGGTAAACTCATTTATGGACATCAGACACACGTGAACCTACAGTAGCATCTTTAGGAAAATTATGTTTTTATTTGGGCATAGTTGTCGCGGGGATTAGAAATTGTGGATTAAATGTTCTGCCTCGTTATTTTCTAAACTCATTGTTCTTGCCAAAATGAAAGTAAAACTTCCGGTAACAAAATGAAAAATAAAATAAAATTTATTCTGCAGTCTTTTGTGAACGTATAAATCTCTGTACAGAAAAAAAATAATGTTCTTGTTCGAGAAGTATGCACTACAATTACCTGTTTAGTTTTTTTTATTAAACGTAACATAATTTATACTTTTATTTTGAAGGTAAAAATCACATTTTTCCTGTACTGACTCAGTTTCATTCCAGTTAAAAGTCTGACTGTTATTGTTTATTTATAAATAACCAGTTAAAATTTCCTTGCCCATTAACATCTCCATCCCTCTTTGAAGCCCACGGTCTAGCCTGTCCAGAAACTGCATGGGGTTCTGCATATATTTTGACTTACTTACATAACTTGACTATTTTACTTCAAAGCATAGGATGACATCTGTTTTCTTTTGGTATGAGGAGAGAGACCTGTTGTGTGAATAAAACAACAGCTTTGTTGCAGGAAAAGACCACGTTGGAAAAACTGCCCAGTGGATAATGTCTGTCATGTTGCCAATGAGTGTCTTTTCCAGCCACTGTGTGTGTTCCACTATAAATCTGCAAGTCTAATCAAGCTTAATATTTGATGTTTCAGCCAGTGTCGAGATGCTCCAGGGGGCAGTGAGCAGAGCTGTGCTCTGCCTGTCCTGCTGCCTCCTGTTGGAGGTCTGCTTCCCAGCAGACAGTGCAGGACCAGCAGCTCCCCTCCCTACCTTTCCCCCTGCACAAGAGCCAGGGGAACCAGACCTTGAGGACTGGGAGTGGGGGTCTGGATCATCTCTTCTGCATCTGCTCAACAGCTTCCCTGCCGACAGCCCCTTCATAACGGAGACCCCAGGAAAACCGGTTAACTGCACCCAGCGCTTCTGGTTACCACCGTCCTCTGCAATCTGCTGGGAAAACATAGCCGGACCTGAGGAGTTTGCCGAGTCCCGTCTGCTTGTTCTACAGAACAGGGCCGCCCTGCAGGCTGTGTCCACCTCCAGCGGGGTGGAGGAGGGAGGGATCTCCTATGACCACCAAGCCAGAGAGGAGGTCCAGGGGATCCGCTCAGACCACCTGAGTGTGGTAGATACTATGCAGACCATGGAGAAGGTGTTTGTGTCACTGGAGGAGAAGAGGAAAGAAGGGAAGGAGCAGGGGGTCTTTACACGGTAAGACATTTTAAAAATCCATGGACCATTTACCTATCAGGTCTGTGGTTTGAATAACCCAAGAGACTGTACTTTAATTACTAGTGGGAAGAGGTTAAATCTTATATTTTATTTTATAAAAAACAACCTATGGACCCTACCCATGACATAGAAGTCTAATAGTTTCCCTATCAATATAGCAAGATAACATATCTATGGCAAATATGCCACTCTGTATTTCTTTCTTATAAACATCTGCAAAGTAAACAGTTATTACAGCCACAGAATAAGAGACAAAGGCAGACAGTAGCTCTGCAATGCAGCATTTTACCCACACCCAGACTGCAACAAATAGACATGATGCTATAGCCGAATATGTTCGATGTTTGGCAGTTACATGATCCCTGAGACTGCTCCAGAGAGCGCCACAAACAGTGTTTTCAACTGTAGTATAGTGACTGAGGAAGTGATTGTAATGTGAATATGTTGTATAATATCTGTCGTGTATTCATATTTACACACACATTTTAAAACCATGTTCTGCAGCGATCAGTCACAGACACAGCTTCAGGCCTCACTGTACAGAAGCAATTAAAATTTCCAGTAAATACTGATCCAAGACCAACTGCTGGGCTAATCCTAAATTATTATTAGTGAGGTAATCACGTCCCCTGGATCAGTGTTACTTGTTTGGCTCAAACACAACGCTGATTGAATGCCAAAGAAGACAGAGTGGAAACACCGTCCAGACGAGAAGCTGAGTCATTTCCAGTGTTTTCCAACAGTCGTCCGTCAGGACATCTGGCTGAGACGAGGCTCAACATTCAATTCAGCAGTGCTTTCTATCCATTAGATCAGAGAGAGTGAATTCATTCTCAATCTTAGGCAAAGCAGTGTGTGTAAATGTGTCAAAAAGTCTAAGACATTTTGCCTGTGGTTGTCTTCCCTTTCAGCATGAAGGAGCGTCTTGCCAACACAAGAGACACCATCGATGTCAGAGAGGACATGGCAAACCATCTGGAGGAGCAGTTTTCTACTTTAGAGAAGACTCTGCTTAACATACAGCTTCGACTCAACAAACTCATCCAACAGTGACTACACCATGGAGCCTTTCACGTCCCTTATGTGAACTGTATTTATATATTCATGTATTGTACAACAGTGTAGCAAATGCATGCATGCTCAGGATTATGTAAGTCTCTAGTATGACGAAAAACACACTTGATATACACATTATGTCATTAACGTACCTACACAAGTAAAACGTGTGACCTGGAATTTGCAGATGAACTTCACATTATCCGGGAGCTTTGATGAACATGTAGCAGTTAAATCTAGTTTTATATTGACAGTTTGCAAACATGTTCCATGTGGAGATTTCATGGTCACATTAATAGCCTCTAGTAAAACAGCAAGACACTTGTAATAGAATAAATGACTTGTTTAACTTGCTTTATTTTAATATCAAATCTAAACAGCAAATTCGCAAATATATGAGGAAGATGCCTTGAAAGGTGGTCAGCTGTTATATACACTTCAAATATTCACTTCTGTTAGGTGGAGTGTGAATTTTCATTTGGAAGAGACACAGCATGTTCGGCTGCTTTGTAGTTAAACTGGAAAACAGAGGTATTTGTACTTTCGATTGGTTCAAACAACTTTCAAGTATTTATGATCATCTACTCACAACTCAAACATGACAATATCTTTTAAAAAAAAAAAAAATACAGCATCAAGTATAACTTAGAATCCCTAACGTCACTTGGAAATCAATGCTTCACAGCGTCTGTAAAATAGAGTGTTCACCCAATCATATTTTAAAGGCAATAATAAGTCAGGAGCTACAACATCTGTGTTCCAGCTGTGTGGAATGAATTCTTGGTCTTTTACATGAAGGGAGCCTGCAAGCTGTTAAGGAAAACCAATTCATTCCTCCTAATGGTTATGCATGCAAAAACTAGCTCCATTTATAAAGACATTGCGACCAGAAAAACCTTAAAAGATAGTTTAGTAAATCACTCTGAAATCGTAAAAATGTTCAAGTGCATCATTTATGAGCAACAACAGTACTTTTGCCTACACAAAAATATTGTCTTTGTAGAGGTAATCAATTCTGAAGAAAACTTAAGGGGTGATTGCATTACGATTCATCTAAGGCTGCTTTGTTTAGGCCATTAATACAAATTTAGCTTGCTGGCACCAATTATTTATCATAGATATATACGGTACAACTTCTAGTTCCCTCTGAACCTGTGTGTGTTTAAACTTGATCTGTGAGCCTTCACTTGATTTCACATTAGCTCTGTGTGGTATTACTTCCAATTCCACGCCCATTAACTTTTTCCACAAGCCCTACAACTGAACTCTGTCGGTGTATTTAAAAGCACTGAGAAAGTTCAGGGTGTCTCTTCTGCCACTCACTTTATTTTCAAAGAATGGCAGAACGTGTACACTTGATCTGTCCCGACGTGAAATGCAGCCGGTGTCCTCTCTAAAAGTCAGCGTCCTCTTCTTGCATTTGCTCCAAAGACTTGAGGTAATCTCGAGCCAAGATCTTCTTAGGCAGGATATCTGTCAGTTAAAAAGAGAATATTACACTGAATTCAACTCATTACAGCATTCACTACTTGTCCTCTTAGTGCAGACACACAATGACATCCCTGTTTTTGGGAAAGAGCACAGACATTTGGCCCATTACAGCTGTCAGAAATGATCAAGCCATGATGATAATGATGATGATGATGATGATGATGATGATGACGACGATGACGACGACGTCTCGTTGCAGAGATAGATCTTGAAAGCTATTTTAGTCCCTGCTCAGGAAGTGATATTAAATCTGAGCTCCAGGAACACTTGGGTGGCAACAGCAATGTTTTAGATTATGACAGGCCAATCAACATACAATGACACCGGAACTGTTTCAAAAGCTGCTGCATGAATACGCAACATTTAAGTTTTAACTTTATATTTTACTTCAAATGCACCAATTTGTTTTATCCACTATTTTTTGTTTCTAGTACATGTCATGATTGTGAATAGAGTCAAATTCAGCAAAAAAAAAAAAGCTCCTTACATTACGTAATTTTATTCATACTTTTCGAGCTGAGATCAATCTACACCTTACAATCCATTGCAGTAATTTTATGTTACAATATCTCCTGGAAAATCAATTAAGAAACTGTTAACAATAATAATAACCACAAAAGAATGTCTACTTTTGGACAAATTAAGATAATGTATATCATTTAGGCAAAATCATTTAAAATCAAATCAAATGATGCACATCGTGGCATGAAAAAACAAAATATATTATGCAGTTAGCTAGACTTACACTCATTTGGTACTCCTAGCTACACCCAATGCAGTAATAATTTAATAAATAATAGTAGTAAATCCTCCCTCCATGAAGGTTGTAATGTTCAGTTTGTGTTGAAACTGTTTCACAGAGGTGCTGAATGAACGTTATGGTTATTTTAGAAGACAGTTTGTGGGGCTGTTGAATTATACTGAATTACACTGAGAAGTGTTTGTAATATTTAGTCTACCCACTGACATGAATCATTTGGCCAGAATATTATAAAGACCTGTTGGTGTAATCAACAGCAGGCTGTTGAGGCTACATTGGTTTTAGCTAAGTGTAGCTAATCAACTGGCAAATGGCTGTTTGCTATAACCAAAGACCATCACTTACCTAAACTCACAAAAGTCCCAGGTTACACTATTGTTTCAGTGGTAAAGGGCCAGTACACTGCATGCTTCAGGTAGTCCCTATAGGTCTGTCAGACTGCGGCTGGGTCTCACCTGTTAGAAAGTGGAAGGTCTCTGTCTCCTCCGCGGTGTTAGCCAGGTCACTGTAAGACAAGGTGTTGGTTTCCTTCCCGGATCCGTTGTTGAATGAGGCGAGAGCCAGGTGCTGGACAAACAGCTCCTTCAACAACAACAACAACAACACGTGTCAGCAGAAGAGAAATTCACACTAAGTGAGTACTTGAGGTCAAAGAAAAACCTGGAGCAGCTGCGTTTACAGTTTTCCCGACACGCTAGCGGTGCTAACCCGTTAGCAGCAGCAGCAGGTGGAGGCGCTGATGAATTAGCACAGCTCAGTAAACCGAGCATTTAGCATCAAACTGCAGCTTACTGTCGCCTTGGTGGTGAGGAAAAGAGCGTCCTGGTTGATGCTGGAGACATCCGGGGAGCTCTTCATGATGAGCCTCACTCTGGATATCGGGAGGGAGATTGTCTTTTTATTGCTAGACGTGTGGTCGTCTTTGTCGGGATTACTTTGAGACATCTTCATGAGGACACGGCGCCAGACAGGCGGAACTTCAACTATTGTTTTGAACACTGATGCATTTATTCTTCTTTTGCATTTAAAGAGCTGTTGATTTGGATTACTGCCACCTGCTGGACCGGAGACGCTTCATCTGAAACTTCATCTGAAAACCACTATTAGTGCTGTTACTGTCATGGATGGATATACGTGGCCACAAAGGTTTAATATTTTTTGTTTGAGGTTCCTGTTGTATTGGATTGTGCTATATTGATATATGTATTGAGCATATACAGTGCCTATTGTACAACAGCTTTTGGTACAATATAAACATTAATCTGCTGTAATAGCAGGACCACTACAAAAACTAAGCTTTATTTCAAATAATTCACTTTGTCAAGAAGGTGATATGTATTCCAAAACAAAACATCCATTTTTTTTTAAATAAAAAAGTAAGACAGAGATCTAATTATGGATTTTGGATTTTATTAGTCTTGCACAGTCAGACCTATTGCCTGAGCGCTAGAGAATGATTTTATATACTTAAAATTGAAAAAGTCATTCAAAACAACTAAAAACAGATATTATTAATTATTAATATTAATAATATTAATATAACTAGACATCTCTAGAAAAAATTGCCATATGCCAAACTTTTGTTTCTAACCATATTCACCATTTCTAAAAAGTAAAGGTTGGTTACGGTGTCCGCCGGTCCAGTGGTGGCGCTTAACTTAAGTTTGTGCCCAAAAACCAACCGCCGAAGAAGAGCCGATGACAGAGGCTGGCGAAGAAGAAGAAACAGTGGCGCTTAGCAATGGCGGTGATTTGGTCACACAAATAAACAATCTAGCTTGCAATTTAATGCTGTTCGTAAGTAAATCGTAAGTAGTCTCATGTCGTAGCTAGCTGTCTTAAGTGTGTCTGTTGCAGAAAAAAGGACACGTCTGTGTTTCTGCTGGTGTCATTTTCTGGATTCGCATCAGTCTGATATTGATGATAAACAGTTAGCAGGAACCGACTGGGCAGCTTCTTCTCATTGTTGAACACTGAACTCATTTCTTCGTGCCCTGGCGTCGTTTTTTGACCACTAACGATGCCGTTGGGTTTGAAGCCATGCTGTGCCGTTTGCAAGACAAACTCTTCGTCCATGTGGAAGAAAGGAAACCAGGGAGAAATCCTGTGTAACAACTGCACAGGGAAGAGCAGCAGTGGTGGAGCATCTGGACCCTCCATGTCCTCCAGCGCACAGCCCAGCAATGGCGGGGGCAAGCAGGTTAGTTGGGGAAGTGTTCTTTAATTCATATGTTGTCCATCTTAGGAAGACCACGGTCTGTGTTTGTATGTATTTAACAAAGTCAAAGTAGATTCAAGGATACAACAAGTTAATCAAATAACTCAGAACTGCAGCTAATGCATGTTGTACTTGTCTTTAGTCCAAGCAGGAGATCCACAGGAGGTCTGCACGGCTGAGAAGTACCAAGTACAAGGCTCCTGCATCTGAGAAGAAAGTGTCCACAAAGGGAAAGGGAAGAAGACACATATTTAAACTCAAAAACGTAAGCTAGCAATGGATTTGATTGGTCAATTTAGTTAATTCTTGTGTTATTCTGGACTGTGAGTTTATTAATTTGACTGCTGTGTGTGGTTTCTTTACTCAGCCAATCAAAGCACCTGAATCTGTTGCCACAATCATCACGTCAGAATCCGTATTTTATAAGGTATGGTATTTATTTTTACCAAGCAAAAATAATCTTAGGTTTCAGTTCAATATCAGAAAGGATCATGGTGACTATTAGTATTTCTTCATCAAATTGCCACTTTAATTACTGCACCGATGCACTGAACCGGACTGTAGTCATCCCCAGTCTCTCTATTTCATACCTACAGGGTGTTTACTACCAGACAGGAGATGTGATCAAAGTAACAGATGAGGAGGACGGGAAGTCTTACTACGCTCAGATTCGAGGCTTTGTTCAGGACCAGTACTGTGAAAAGAGTGCAGCACTGACCTGGTTAATCCCCACTCAGGCCAGCCCAAAGGACCACTTTGATCCTGGGACATACATTGTTGGTGAGCAATAAGAAATAAGAACTTTGTGCTTTTTTTAATATATACCTTTTGTTTGACTTGTTTTAGAAACGGTCTGTTTTTTTTTTTGTTCCAGGTCCAGAGGAGGATCTGCCGAGAAAGATGGAGTACCTGGAGTTTGTGTGCCACGCCCCCTCTGAATATTTCAAATCACGGAGCTCTCCGTTCCCCACCATCCCCATCCGACCAGAAAAAGGCTACATCTGGACCCACATAGGACCTACACCAGCCCTCACTATCAAAGAGTCTGCAGGTGGCAGCAGTTAACAGGACTCTGATATGGACTTCCTCTGTTGCTTTTAAACAGATATTTGTATATTTATGTAATATAATAAGAACAAAAATGGTTGTTAACTACAGCCATTATGACAGATTGATGAAGAAAAGCTGTGATTTGACACGGAAGAAACCACCATGTAACCACATTTCAAAAAAGTTGTTTACACAGTTGCAGCATTGGAATATTACTTTTGCAATTAGTAATAAACAAAAAAATCTTGTTTCTACTCTTCTTTTTGTCTGTGATTGTTTAAAAATATATATTTATTCAGTTGGAGTTGCTGTTGCTGAGTGTAAATGTACTTATTGTGTGCTTTAGTTTCTAGTTTTAGTTTAGTACTTTTTCACTTCAAAATACTTAATTTGTCCCTGTCAAATACCCAATGGGGCACATAGAGTAGCACAGTCACGAGAGAAAAAAAAAAGATAAGCTATACACATGATGGTACTAATATAATACTAAACAATATAATAAGAAAATGCAAACATGAGTCCTACATGTTTTGATAATTATGTGATAATGACAATATTAATGCAATAAAAGTGTATTGCAAAGAAATAAGCTTTACAGTAAACATAATCTAAAGTCTACATATAAGCTATTTCACAAATGTATTGTTAAGTCTTGTGTCACAACAAGAGAACCACCAAGAAACAATACATAGTTGTGTATTCTGCCTCACCGAGTATAACCGAAGGAGGAAGTCCGCCGGAGTGAAGCCTCTCGCTCTGCCTCTACACTCTTGGATAAACATTCCCAGCCAAAGTACCGAGCTTCACCTCGTCGGTGAAATTCCCTGAGTGCGACAGAAAGTCTCCCGGTGCTCCAGCAGGGAAATGGATGTTTCACTAACGTCAGATTTATTTTTTCCTCACGGGCTGGACATTATGAACTTTTCTTGATCAAAAAGAAAAGGCAGGAGTATGGGCAAATTCCAGTCCAAACTTGGTGAGACATCACATGAAATCAGCCTGTTTTTAAATGAATCACTGTAGCTTATTATCACTCATCGCATTCACTTCTCTCTCTTCATTTGGACAGCTTTGAAACGCAGACAAAACCCTGAAGGTAAGACAGTCAGATTCAACTGTGTGGTATACTCACTTCATACAGCGCCTGTACATGTGTTAACATACTTACTCTTATGTTTTGCAGGTGGTAGTCCGGCTTCCAGTGTGGTGACTTGTCAGGGGGAATTGGAGCGGATTCGCATTCACAAGGGCAAACTGACAGAGGTAGAAATTTTATTTAATTTTTCATAATTTATGCTTATTTTGCTGATATAATTTAATAATAGCCTATATATGATCGAACTAAGACATATACAGATGCAGGTAATAAGGAAATCCACCTCAGGTATTTTCCCAGCCATAAAAAAAATCAGTTTTACAATGCAGTGGACTGGCCACATGATAATCACAGCCAGAATTAAGATATTTGACACATAATTCAGTTAATTTATCGACATCATTCATCATCATCTATTTTAGATGTGTTTTCCCCATCTGAATCAATCAACATGTACATTTTGGCTGTACTAAAATAAAATAAAAATGACTTGACCATAGATTGATTGTATATAAAAGCAAATGAGAACATCCACATAAGAGCTGTACATTAAACCCACAGAGGTCTGTTCCTATACTGCAGAAAAACAAGCAGCAAGCAAAAACACAAACATTAGCAGCCTCGTCATACTGGTTTATTGCAGTGCCAGCAGCTTCATCGCAGTGAAGCCAGTTCTGGGGACAAACACTATTTGCTCACATCACATCCAAGAGACATAAAAGGTGTTTGGAGGTAGTCGTATATTTATTCTTCCGCCCTTCCTCCTCCATCTCTATAAAGAGACGTCCAAGTCTGTGAAGTGCAGCGCAGCCACCCCCCCCTCCAAACAGCAAGGTCTTTATACAGAACTGCTATGAAAAAAAAAAAAAAATCTCCACATCTGGTACTGCTTTCCTTCACCAGCCAGACAGAATGTGAGGCAGTGGGGGAAAAAGATGTGGGAAGGGGTGTTGAGGGGTGGGTGTTTGATTGCATAAATGGCATCACATGTAGACTGTTAGCGTTAATGAAGCAGTCACGTTTGGGGCTAGGATACTGAGAAATAGTGTTATAATCCAGAGTGGATGTGCCCCTTATTTTGTTTTATACATGAAAGCCTGTAAAAGCTGGTGACAGTCACACACTCTACTAATAACTATCAACACGCTGATTTAATCTGTGTAATAAGATTTTGTTGTGAAAGTAAATCACAGACGTTTTTTATGTGGTTCCAATGATCACAGGGTTGCTTGTAGGAAACAGCAAATTCACTTATAAGTCCATCTCATGTATAATACGATAAACAGCCAACATGCCAAGTTCACTTTTCTTTAGGATGTTTCATCTTCTAGCACAGCTGCTGAAGTTTTAAGATTTTGATGTGAGCTATCACCAGTATTGTTGTTTTGAGTTTCATTAAGTGTTGGAGGCGGAGGATATATATTTGTACCATGCTATATGAAACGTCTGGAAAGTCGTACAGTTGGGAAAAAGACGTCAACTCTGCCAAGTTGTTTAAAGCTTTGTGGTGGGGGGGTTCTGGGCTTGTTAATTGTAGGGTGCTTCCTGCGATTAGATTTTCCAGGCTAATACAGTTTGACACTCCATGACACCACTGCTGTAAACTGTAAACGGCAAAGACATCTCATTGTATGACACATACAGTGGCACATGACACACATACTGTTTTCTGTCAGCTTTTGGTGTTACATGAACTCTCTTTTTGCATCCTATAGAATAAAGTCTTGGCCTTTTTATATTTAAAGTATTTTCCTCGCAGAGTTTTGCAGTAAAAATGGTAAAATAAATAAATAAAGTACATTTTGCAAAGTAAAAGCAATCTTAAAACTTTGATGCAACGATGCAAAATGTATACAATACCATTTATAGACGTCATTGTGTATTGTTGAAGATAACTAGTGAGAAAAAAAAAATTGCACAGTGGGAAAAAACTGAAGACACAGACTCACATTAACTGATTGTTTACATACCTGACTCTCAATTACTAGTGACTCAGGACCAGGTGTCACCAACCTCAGTTTCTGAAGCAGCACAAACCGGTTTGCTTTGCTATGATCTCTGGACTGAAAGGGGCGTATGCGTGTGTGAGTGTGTGTGTGTAACACAAAGTTAGTATTGTAACACTGATGAGGAGTGTGTTAATCTCCTCACATGTCAGCTTCATATTCTCTATCAGAACTAACAACTAGGAGTGGTTGCTTTGACTTCTAGACACTAAGCTCTTTTGTTTAGAGAGCAAATCCACCCTTCAGTGAAATTTAATACCAATGTGTTCTGTGATAACTAAGAGGTCAAAGTGTAGCCTATGTGATTCTTTTTTATTTTGGCAGCTAAAATCCACCTTGCATGCCACAATTATGAACCAGTTTGATATAAAAAGTTAGATATTTCTATGAGAATAAGTGCCGTTCTGCCCTTTTCTATCTAATATAATACATTAATGTATGAAGTACAGTGAGTTAACGATCATTAACTAACTTCATAAGCTTTAACTAATCACATAAACTCATACTGACTTGATCATTTCTTATTGGCGAGAACAGACAACAGGAAATAATACATCCTACATTCATTCATTGCATTAGTTACACATTAATTAAGCATATGTTTTACACTCTTATTATAAACGGTTTCTCTTTAGTGCTGATTCATAATTCACCATATAATAATTAGGCCCCTACATCTATTTTGAAAATGAGGACCTGTTAGTTATTACATGCTGTTAGACCTTTTGCATGGCGTGTGACTTGGTTTTGATGCACACAAAAAACCAAAAAGTTCATGCAGCTTAATGATATTAAGATATGAAGCCCAGTGCTGAAGTAATCAGAGCCTCATCTCTCCATGTTGCATCTCCACCCTCCCTCACAGTGAAACCTCTTTTCAGGAAGGCTGTCACGCAGTCTTGCTGTGACACAGGCAGCCGCCATTCTACCAGCACTTTCAACTTTGTGATGCCAGGATGGGATGGCATAAATGGATGGTTGTGTAATGAGGGTGTACAAAAGAGAAGACTGCAGGATTCTACCAGCTGCACACCTTTCTGTTACCTGCATCATTACTCCTCCACCTCCCACCTTATTCCACTGGAAATCAAACCCAGGATCAAAGCTTCACAGCAGGCCGAGCGTGGCAGGCGGAGAGAGAGAGAGAGAGAGAGAGGAGGGTGTGGAGAGTGATTGCTCGTGTTGTGTGTGTGTTGTGTGTGTGTGTGTGTGTGTGTGTGTGTGTGTGTGTGTGTGAACGTGTATGTGGGTGTGAGGGTGTGCAGTCATCATATCATTTCTTTTGTTGCTCATCTGCATCTGCATCTGCATCTGCCCGAACATCGGAGTGTTGTTTGTGATGTATTGGATAAGAAATGTCTTGTTGGCGGCTTCAGTCCTCTCCTGCTCTGCAAAAAGCAGATACAATATGTAATCAGATGTTATAGAAATTTTTTTTAATGATCTGTTCTATGTAACAGGGCATATGCAAGTTCTGGCACGAGTCACATGTGATGAGGAAGGAAAGGTCACGACATCAACAGCTTCTCTTTCTCTTTTACTTTTTTCTGTGTTTTAATGTGCGTAATTCAGAAAGATGCGTATCGCTGCTTCATCAGATATTATGGAGTCTGATATTATATAGTCAGAGTTGATGTTGATTATTACTGAAGTGGTGTCCATTACAGCCTCCTAGAAAGACTTACATAAAAACCACAGATGTTCATGGATTGTTCCGCTTTTGCTCACATCTGGAGATCCATCCCAGCACTGGTGGGACATGAAAATCACTTAATTGCTTCCTCTACTCCTCTTTCCCTCTGCCTCTGTTAACACGTGTGTTCTGTGTTGATTTACAATCTGTCTCAATCTTTTCTCACAGAACTTGTATGTGGAATGGAGGGAAAACAAATCCGACCATAACTGCAACCTCAAGGGTGAGTACAGAATTACACGCATCACACTGACATGGTTCACTTTCTATGTGCTATGAGACCTTAATTCTTCGATTAAGCGCATTACCAGGTTTGATGCATACGCTTTGACATGTCATACCCGATTGCTTTCCCAAGGGCAAAAAGAAATTGTGAAATTAAACACATCTGTTTTATATTTGTGTGGGAAAGTTTGGACCTTTGGATGTACAGCTTTCAGTTAGCTTTTAGTTTCCTCTCTGCTGCCAAACATTCATTGAAAACAGAGCTTATAACAGGGAATTAATTATTTACAAAGGCACAGCATGTTAACACAAAAGTGTAGCTAGCCTCAGACGTTGGTGTGTGCTGATTATTGTTATTCACAGTCCGGTTCTGTGATGTTTAGTGGTTTTGCCACCAAAGAAGACACTGGACAGGGACAAAAGCATCCACTTCCAGGTCAATAAACGGACAAAGAAGAAGAAAAGCCATGCTGGTGTGAGTGTTTATCTTCATGCTTCTGACTATCGGATTGTGGGTGAAACAAGATGGCTGTGATAGTGTGTCTGCATATTTATCGTACTGATAATTGTAACTTGTGTGTGTGTGTGTGTGTGTGTTTGAGAATTACTGTGAATTAGTGAGATGTTGAACTATTCCTCTAAATGTCAATCGCAGAAGCACTAAGCTTGTTATTCTGACAATATGTGCATATACAGGACACACAGTGTGAATTGGTGCTTGAGGAGGATTCTCAGCAGGAGTGGGTCTTCACACTGTACAATTTTGACAACAGTGGCAAGGTCACAAAGGAGGTAGCTTGCTTTTTTATTTGTTGTCACACTAATTCAAATTTAAAGTCCCTCTGTACACAGTGTGTGTGTGTGTTCTGTAGGATATGTCCAGTCTGATACAGTCCATGTATGAGGTTCTGGAGGCATCAGTCAAGCAACCTTGTGGTGATAACACACCCCTGAAGATCAAGCTAGCCGTAACTCCCTCAGCTTACCCAGACAAGACCTCACAAATGGGTAAATTTGCATTTTTATTATGGCTCTAGGAGCCATGAGTATCATTCTTGGGGGGATCACTGAGGATCCAAAGTGTCACTATGCCAAGACTGTTACCTGGTTCAAAATGGTTGGACTAAGACACCAGGACTACAAGTCATTATATGATGATTTTGTCCCTCTCTCATTGAAAACAGCCAGAGAGAAGGAGCAGAGGGTGTCTCAGGAGGAAGGAAGCCCAGTAAGGAAAGTCTATTGTGTGGATGAAAACATAGAGCGCAGAAACCACTACCTGGATCTAGCTGGCATTGAAAACTACACCTCAAAATTTGACAATACAGGTATAGGCACTCCTCCTTTATTGTTATGCTTTGTAAATATCTCACTTCATGAACTGGTGGATTGTCCCATTGGGAAACACCTGAAAGTGTTTTTTGCCTCTTTGTTTCTAGAGTCACCCTGCCAGGAGCACACACACCAAGCTCACTCTGCTCTTCAGCACCACACAGTGGTGGGAAGAGAGAGCTGCATCTCCCCTGAGTCTCCCAGAAGTCTCTCTATCCTTCATTCCCTGAGAAGTAAGCCCATGTCAATGGGGAAGGACAGGAGCAGAGGAGAGGGAAAGTACTGCAGGTTGCATGGCCATCCTACCCAGTCACACCCTGCAGCACATAGTGTCCTCCAACGTTCCCACAGCAAGAGGCTCCGCTCCAGGATACAAGATGTCCCCGCATCCCTTAGACACCCTGGCTCCCAGGGCCCGACAGGGGGGGGCAGGGAGATACCAAATAAACTTCATCCCTCCTGTGGGGCCCCTCTAGCTCAAAGACATGAGCACCATCACCACCATGAGCACCATCATCATCACCATCACCACTACCACCCTTCATAAATGCATTTCAAACACATACTGTATGAAACTGGGTTCAAGCTCAGGTGAGAGGAGATGGTGCAGTCACAAAATGCTACTCAGCAGGTCCTTGAATGTGTGGTGGAATCAGGCTCAGACACTGTTATCTAATGCAAACAAAGTCCTGTAAGATAGACATCGTGGAAGGTCAGTTCATTGTTGCCTGTATGACATGACACTTTTATAGCGCTTTAGATCGACTGTTTCCTCTCAGGTAGATTACCACTTAAGCTATACAATTTAAAAGGGCACTGTGTAGTGTTATATAATGCCTGTATTGTGAACTCTATACCCAGTATTACATATTAACAACATACAGTATGTCTTTCCTGTTTGAAGATGCTAACATAATGTGCAAATTAAAGGTGTTTAGTCTGTTTATTCTGACATCAAATGTTCATACTACCATTATTTGTTTTCTCTTCTTGTTGGCGACAGTATTTACTCAACACAAGCAATAGATTCAGGGGAGATGCACTTCCCTTGAACAGAAAGAGTTTGCAGTGTGTTTCTGCATGTCTGGGCCTAATATGTTGTTTGTAATGATATTTTTCCATATCACAATGCATGACACAATGCATACATTATAATGTCACACTGAGATACGCTCTGTCATAGCGATATATTTCAGAGTTTCTTTAAGACTCCACATCTGCACCAATGTTTATATCAAGAGGAATCTGTCATGAAAGATGCAGATACCCATGTCTCCACTGACAGAAGCCTCAGTAGACCATGATGCATTGCAAATACATGACATGTTGCATTTTGAGGATGGTTAAAGCTATTTTTTATAAAGCAGATTTGAGAAAAAATGTATCTATCAACAAGTAAATTGGAGCACTTCAAAACAAAACAAACATGATACCTCAGTCCTCAGTCCTCTTTGTATGTAAGTATTCCTGTATTGCTGTTCTATTTCTGCTCTCAAAACATTCATTTTTGTTCCAGCTCTTGTGTGAAGTGTAGGCCTTACAAAGAGGTGTTGTGAATAGCGACAGGTTTTCCAGCAGCATTCAAATGCTCTTCCTACTTATCTGTCTGGCAAAAGTTGCAAATAGATACCATGCCCCAACGAAGGACGTGAGACAGCTGTTTCTATAAATAACCTCAACCCTCTTACCTACCACGAGACCCTCGAGCCTCATTCCTGCCTCACCACAGCAAGCCCCGTCCCAGACAAACACACAACACCCAGACAGACAGACAGACAGAAACAGAGGATATCAACAACGCAGCAAAAAGAGGAGGCAAAACACTGACACGCAGAGCTGTTTGATAGCAGCTCCTACCAAGAAATTTAGATCTGTTGGTACAAGCGGCGAGAAAAACCAGGAAACATGAAGTCTCTGCGATTCCTCGCTGCTGAGGGTTTCATTCAGACTGGTCCAACTGCTCTGGAGAACCTCAACTGTGTATCTTTCAATCTCTACCCAGTTCTCTTCAAGGCCTGCTACCTCCATGAACAGGCTGACTTACTGCGCGCTCTGATCCAAGCATGGCCTCTTCCCGAAGTCAACCTACAAAGGCTCCTGGGAAAGACAGTCGACTGTCAGTTGGACCTCACCTCACGCACCTGCCGACTTTGTCTGGAGGCAATTGTGAAGGGGTTAAAGGTACCTATGTGTTCTTGAGTATGACATGAGATCACATGTCATCATGTCATACTCACATTACCCATGCATTTTTTGCCATGTTCTTTAATCTTTTTGCTCTGTAAGTTTAAACTCTCAATCAGTTGGCACAAACATGTTTGTGTGACTTGTTATTGGCTTACAATGATTGTGGACCAGGTAATCACTTCAAAGTATTTTATCACGATTTTCTCATTTTGTGAAGGATTATGTGCTGTCTCCTCCAAGAACTTATGCCAAGTGCCTTCATGTGGTGGACCTCACTTCCCTGAAAGACATCGAGTACCAGGACTGCCCCTGCCGGTCCACCCTGGGTCGGTGGGCAAGAACCCAGCTCCTGACCCAAATGTGCTATGAGACCATGGTGGCCATGCAAGCCAACGATGTGTCCCAATCTGCCTTTGACACATCCATTGATGTCCGTCTGAACGGCTTTGTCACAGGCCGCAACTATGAGCTAGTGGCTCAGGCCTTCCTCCTCCTCCGCTACTGCCCCCTCAAACTTCGTTTTGTTGGTTTTCGGGGTGATTCCCTCGCTCTTAAGCAGCTCTTCTATGTTCTTCGACTAGCAGAGCCCGAGTCCATCACAAAACTAGAGGTGGTCCACAATGTTCCCCTGGAGGCCACACACCTGGAGGTTCTGCTGTCCAGGGTGGAATTCCCTAAGTTACAGTCTCTGACCCTGCCGGCCGGGGCGTTGGATATTAGGAGGTTGGGTTTTGATGATGATGATCTGCTGGCCACCATCGGCAACCTGTTGGCACAGCTGAGCAGCCTGACTGAGCTCTATGTGGGATTCTCCACTCTTACTGGACACCTACGCAGACTCCTGAGGTGAGTAAATAGACAGATGGATAGATTAAAAAAAAAAAGAACAAGGTGTCTTTGTTTGTCTGCAAATTCATGTGAATGAGGTGATGGATGGCTCTGAAGGTCCATCTTACATGCACATTGTAGTATGAAGAGACTTAATAAAGCCCATAATAATCACCTTTAACCAGTATGTTGCTGTTAAAATTACTGACATGATGCACGTGTGAGGACAGACAGGTGCACCTGGCTACAGCTGCAGGTCAGACATACTTCACAGTTGAGCAGGACCCCAAACACTAGAGCTGTTGATAACGGTCTGGCATATAGTTTAAACAATTTTACTTTTAGCAAAATTTTGTAAAATAAAAGCATAAACACAGAAGTTTGGGGATTTGTCAGAAAGCTTATCAGATTTTTTTATGGCCCAGTTATTTCTAGTACCACAGACCTTTTATTTCATGCGACTAATTTCCTTTTACCCCTTTCCTTTACTCAGTCCTCTCAACACTCCCCTGCAGTGCTTGGAGTTGGCCAACTGCTGCCTGAACCGTGTGGACATGACATACCTGGCCAACAGCCTCCACAGTGAGGCCCTGGTCCGCCTGGACATCAGCGGACATGACATCTTTGGCTCTTTCTCCACCTCTTTCCACAAACTGCTCGGCCGCTGCTCAGCCACATTGGCCAGCCTGGCCCTTGAAGAATGTAACATCGAGGACGAGAACATGGATGCCTTCACTAATGCTCTGACATGCTGTCAGGAGCTGGAGGAGCTCAAATTCCTGGGAAATCCTCTGACTTCTGCAGCCCTGCGAAGGTTATTCTCCATGTTATCTGCAGGTTTTCCTAAGTTAAGGTACATAGAGGTACCAGTTCCCCGTGAGTGTTACTCTGAGGATGTTACTTATCCTCTTGATGATTCAGTCCTACTGCGATACAACGGGGATTTGTTTCAACAGGTCAGGGGCCAGCTGATGGGCATCCTGGAAGGAGCTGGTAGGGGGAGTGTGGAGGTCTGCACCCCACTCACAGGCGCCTATGATCCAGACATTAATGAAACCAGCAATGAGCTGGGAGTAACTATGTTGAAGTCTTTCAACAGTGTACTTGGGAACTTTATAGGTACCATAACTGACGTGAACAACAGGAGATCCCAGGCTCAGCCCGATAATTAACGAGGTTGCCTGTAGAGGGATCAATTGAATGGACTGGCAGAAAACCGTCAGATTTAATTTAGTTATAGTGCTAGTACAGGTTGCTAGCAAACTGTCATCTGTGAAAATAAATCTAGTGAGCTGGATTTGTTTGACTAAAGCTTCACGCAAGAATTCCTTTCCTGACAACATAGCATCTCAACAGCTGTGCAGTGCAAATAGATGTAGCTCTGCAGTGATTATGGTAGATACTCAGATATTTTGTTACCTGTATCTATTGTACATGTTTTTATGTCTATATTCAGGTTTAAATATTGTATATACTTGGATTTGTAAAGGTAAAGATCACACATTTGCAACATGGGGCAGATCCCATTTTAACACATGATTGTCTGTCATACCAATAAATCAAATCTTTAAAAAGCCTGTCATAAATTACATAAAAAGTGACACTTGCAAATCTTCCAAAATGTACATTTCTTTAATGAGCAGTGTCTTATATAGGTTACATTTCATTTTAAATATTACACGGGGGACAACCATGCACCGACTGAAGACTAGGATTAACAGCTTTGAATAGAGACCGTCTATTTCTTCGTCCACTCCTCTTTTTCTTTCCTCTCACGGACCACCTCATTCAGATATGGTGACAGGTAGCTGGCATCCTAAAGGGAACATTTTTGGTGAGTTTAGAGGGGGAGACATTATGACAATTCAATTTTATTGTTCCTTTTCTCACCTCCACCCTGAACAAAAAATTATTTAAAATTTGTTCCACCTACCTCTTCATATTTTGTCCACTGGTCTTTAGGGAGGATCTGCTGCTTCATGGACAGATCCAGGGCTCTCTTGATCCTGAACATCCTGTCGTTGTACAGGTTCTCTGGAAGCCTCCTCAGGGCTTCTTTCACATCTGAATCCTCATAGATTGTGTCATCGCGCATTAAACCTGACACAGGAAACATGCGATGATGAAGATGCTAGATGGAAAATCAGTAATGCAATAGCCCATGCTCATCCAAGACGACTTTGTTTTTATATTTAGTCTTGTAATGGAGTAGCCTCAAAACAAGTGGACTCGTTTGGCTGTAAATTCTACGTTTTGAACAATACTGTTCTTTGGCCTTACCAAGCTTGTTGAAGCCACACAAGTTGTAATACCATTTGCGGAATCCAAGCAGTAGCCTGCCAGTCGCTGCTGTGAACATAACAAAGACACACACACACACAGACAGAATCAGTGAGACAGCACAACCTGATTTAAGGGACAAGACAATGTCAATGTAAGCCACAGATATGAGGAGGAAGGAGTATGGCACCAACAATGGTACGGTATTACTACTACTGGAGGTCAAGTGTATTTTATCTGTCCATTCACCTTACAGATGACTCACATTTAAGCAACTACGTACATTTACTAAAGTACTATACTTAAGTAGCTCTACTGGCTCTATCTCAAGCAGCTACTAAAGTGACATACTTACACACTGATGCATCATTATTAACAATCTAATAGATAATATTATGCCAATCAAGGCATATTTTCTGCAGAGGTAATGCTTCTATTTCTAATACTTGCAGTACATTTTGTTCAGCATAATTTAGTGCTTTTATTTAAGTGTGATTTCAAAAGCAAGACTTTTACTTGTAGTACAGTATTTTTTACATTATTGAATTGCTACTTGTATTGAAGTAAATGATGTGAAAACTTCTTCCCCAAAAGTATATAGTAGGCTACCTGAAAATTTAGACTAGAACCTGAAAATCTGTTATGCACAGAACCTCAGGTGAATCAGTACCTCAAACTGTGTAAGGTTACATTATGAAACAGACAGTCACCTGTGACTTTCAGTCACATTATCTGATTAGGACATTACATATTGGTTGACAAACAGTATATGACCTCGCCATTTGAGCTCATACAGCTAATATTTTCAATTGCATTAGAATGACAGATGAAATGACAGAACACTGGCTCTAACGATTAGGAGCTAACATTAGAAGACAACAGAGTATAGATGATACAGCATAACACAAACACGAGCTGAACGCGACAACAGCTGCTTGGTTAACATCTCTTCACCAAAATAGACAAGATAGCGAGTGTGTGGTTCCAACATAGCTAAATACTGTTTATTTCACTGTGATTAGCACAAGCGGTTAACTCTAAGCTAATGCTAGCTGACAGACACCCTTAGCATCAGTTAGCACGGGGACACTAAAGGACACACACAAGTCAAATGCGCCAAAAGCCATATTCATCCGGGCAAAATCAACATAACGTGATATTATGTGGCACAGTATAACAAGGTTCACACCATACCGGTATAACACCATCTTTAAAGAGTTCATTTAAAACTGGAAATATAAAAAAAGAGCGCTGTTCATTTACCTGGTGCCCTCGACGCCATCTTTACCACTAAGAACGGCCGTGGTGCATCATGGGTAAAGATTATTGAGGTCATTGCCATTGCGCAATGTGACATTACGTGTTTATCATAGACCATATATTAAAAAAATGCTTTAATATTAATTAGAAATGTGTTATAGGAATCTATTAAGCATAGTAATGTTATCGAAATCTCTCTGACAAATCAATTAAGTCAAAGAGCAAGATAAAATACACTATGCAGAAAAAACAACTATCTCTGACCAGGACTATGATTTCATGAGGGTTGAGCAATCACAGTTAAGTTCATCAAAAAGAAAAAGACGTCGCTGTGAAGTGAGCTAAAGTGAAAGTTGAGGAAAACATAATTTGAAATACTGAGCCACGGATCAATGAGAAACTCAACTCCAGATTTGATAAGTCTGGGAGTAGTGATTCTTGAACTGGATCTGGTCCATCATGGTCTGGATGTGAGTAAAAGATTTCACATTTCACTTTGACATGTAGTGGAGCAGTATTAAGTAGCACATGGCATGGAAATGCTCATGTAAATTGAAAGTAATAGTTGCATTCCACCACAGAACAAGTGAGATCTGATCCTTTTTCACATTAATAAGTAAAATCTATTCTCATTACAGGCAGCGTGATTGATGATAATTTTATACACAAGCAAATGTTTTATAGAACCTTAATCATATTTTTGGTCTCTTCAGATAAACAGTCATAGTAAATAAGAACAGTACTTCAGGCAGAAGAGCTGATATACACTGTGTACATTTATTTAACATCACATTTACAAAGCAAACTTTTTATTTCAAACATACTGTATGTTTAAAGACATTGATGTCTGCATGTATCTGACATTATGGTATTTATTATGCATGTTGAACCACTTCTCTGAAGTCCACTTTTATGTCTCCTAAGGAAGAATCAAAGTGTCTTTTGGAACAAATAAAAATCTTCCAATGTGGCCAAAGCCAGATCTGTGCAAAAAGTCTCATCTGGCAAGGACACCAGGCGATCCAGGGAGATGTAGTTGGGCAGGGCGGGGTCATACTGAGCTTTTCCGAGGTACTCAAGGAACAGGTGGCGCTCTTTAACACGCAAGTACTTGGTATTCAGAACCTATGGGAGGAAAAATACTCAAGGTATAATTCTAAATATAGATAGAACACAAATAAAATGAATCCAAACTGATCCTAAACTGGTAAAATTGCCGACAACCAGCAGTTCAATGTACCTGTGGGAACTTGGTGATCAGGTGGTGGGGCAACTTCATGGTGTTGTGGACGAAGTCAAATATTTGGGTTAACTTCCTTTTGTTGGCAGTCAGCACTTTTGGAATGGCAATAACTATGTGTTGGATCTCATTTTCCTTAAAGCCAAACTCTATTTCACATACCTAAGTGGATCACATTTGCACACAGACACATACACACAAAAATAATCAAAATATTAAAAGACAGTATCTCAGGGGGTAACTCAAACAATGGATGCGAATCATGCAATGTATAATGGATAATGATGTATTTTATCATTTCAGTACCTTCAGATTTTCTTTAACAGGCTCCAAACTGCTGCACAGTAATCTGGGTAAACGAGCTACAATGTTCCGAGTCTAGAAAGAGAAACAAAACCAGCTATAATTTGGCATACTTCTTTCTATCAACAAACTCACCATTTCTTTTTGTGTAGAAAAAACATCCAACACACTGATAATACTGGTAGAAAGCTTACATTAGAAGCACTGAGGTTGAGGTGCTGCTGATAAAAACCCAATCTGTTGTCCAGCCTCTTCACACTGAAGTTTAGCAGATACGGAGCTCTGGAAACCATGGATGCAACAGTCTCAGAGCTGAACTTCTTTGACTTGAGATAGTTCACCCTTCAAAAACAACAAAAAAGACAATGTTACTAAGAGAGTCTCATAGCAGATCCTGATCTGCCACTACTGCAATATACAGATTACACAGTTATATAGTTTTGTGTGTTTTATCTCATCAGACAGATTTAATTTAGAATAAAATAATTTGTTGAATATAAAGACGTCGAAATGTTTCTGTTTCTGGGATCCCTTCACGTCACCTGGTCTGCAGGTTTTCCAAACTCTCAGTGAGAATGAAGGGGTTGTGTGTGATGATATAGCCAAAGCGAGAGTCCTCCACCCCGATCTCTTTGAGGAACAGCAGCCTTGGGGCCACGTCTTTGTTGAAGTCGAGCTTCAGCAGCATGGAGCCCACATTGGGCCTTTGTTCAAGCTTCCAGAGATTCACTCCTGCAAACACAGAAAGAGGTTGAATGATCAGAAAAAAATAGATCTGGTGGCACGGACAATTTGAAGACCATTGCATTAACCATTATAGTTCTAAATGTGCTTCCTAACAGTTTAAATAAAAATGATTAAAATATTCTCAACAGTTGATCTACAATTTCATTACCTAGTTGTACCAGCTTGCTGAGTGTCTCAGACTTGTCAACGTAGTCTCCAAGAGAGGTGGAGGCTGGAGGTATGGCTACAGGAACAGATATACTGACAGCCTCTTCATCACTGATCTCCTCTAATGCAGAAAATTCAGCAGCAGCATCAAGATCTGATGAATTAAAAAAAAATAAAGACTGAACACCCATGAGAAAAAAAAGCTGAAATCTAAATATAAATGCTGATGCTCAGTGAATATGCTTCTATGGTCAGCAACAGCAAACCAATATGTACCTAATGGCATCTGACTTTCTTTCAATGGCACAGCATCTCTGATTGGCAGCAGGGGGCTCTTGTATGCTACAACATCAGTTCTTGACAATTCTTCTGTGAATTTGTCTTCCTTTGCCTCAGTTGCCAGATGTCTGGCTGTTAAGTCACTGTAAGAGAGCATCTGTTGTTTCCACCTCTGTCTTGCCTGATTTGTTCTGTGATTCCCCCTGAAAAATGAGAATCCATTTGGGATTTTGGTGGCCACACTTGTAACTGTTGTGCAATGGCGAACTTGAGTGGTATACTGCCAGGTAGTAGCCCCCGTCTTAGAGCAAAGAAAACTTCTACATCTCAGACACAGCAGTGCACAGGATGAAGTCATGTTGACCCTGCAGAGAAAAAATGAACACAGCATGTCGGTCTGGTTTGGTTTTATTTTTCCATAAGACAACCCACCCATCAAATCCTACAACTGTCCACATATTGAAAAAAAAAGAAATAAGAGAAAATCAATCCAACATGAACCATATGCACAAGAAATAGAGAAACTATATAAAAAAAAAAAGACTATATATAGATGGTCCACTCTACTGTCTATACTGTATATTCTGAAAGCTTTTACTGGACACTACAATACAATTTAACATATAACCATAGGAATACGTGTGCAGTACAGTCTGCTTGAAGTTACCTATGGTAATTAAAAGATCACTTTTACTTGTAGGACACGTCAAAGTCAATGAATAATATAGTAGTACTAATTTTGATTATCTACATGCTATTGCAGGAAATATCCGCTATAATATATAGCCTGGTACATTCAGCTGATGTAGCGTTGTAGTGTTATTCCACAAGACTGGTATTCGACCTCTGATGTCTAGTTTAGCTGTTCCTGTATGGTGTACAGAAAAAAAATCTAATCCAACCGTTTTCGATATCTACAGAAAGGGTAGCTGGAACAATTTACCTGTCGGTTTGTTGTTGATACATACAGGTAAGATGTAAACTAGATAAAAATCTGAGACTGAATTGATGCCCTACAAGAAGCCAGCTATAGCCAGACTTAACGTTAGCTCCTAGTTAGTTAGAGGCTAACATGACAACAAGCCTCTATAAGAAACGACCAAAGCAAACAAATTAGTTTAGATTTAGATATAAGTTATTTTTGAAGTTACCTTTTTACTCACAACCTGTGAATAAAACACTTAATCCTCAAATCACTCCATCATCCCCGAGGTCTCACTCAATGTACACTGTTTTCATGTGCTCAATACCGGAAGAACTTACCGGAAATGTCACAATTTAGGATGTACCACAGCGGTGTATGCATGGGTAAAACTGATGCTTCTAATGTACTCATGAGGGTGAGTACTCATGAGATTTTGAAAAAAGTGTAATTATTTGAATATTGGATTACGATCCCTAGTGATTTTAAAATATTATATTTTAATGTAACGCTTTTGTTTTGGTGACTAGAAATAGAACACGTAATTTCACTATACTCGCACCCATTTGCTTTGTGGTTCAGTCCATCTTCAAGGTTCTTGCGTATGGATCTTATTTGCAGTGTCTTGTCTGTCTATCTTTACAACTTGTGGCTTTAGCTGCTAGAATTTCATTGGTAAAGTCCAGAAAGTAGCCCACAGCTGCGATATGGCAGCCGCCGTGACTACCCGATCAACGCGGAAGGATGATACCAGCTACAAGTTACATTTCCGAATGATAAACGAGCAACAAGTGGATGATATCTGTATTGATTTCTTCTATAAACCACACACTATTACACTGCTGACAGTTACTGTGCTTAGCTTGATGTACTTTGCTTTTACCAGGTAAATAACTGTAAGAATCATACATTTTTCTGCTAAATGTAAAGCTAGGTTTGAAGTTAAACCGCTCATTTTCCACGTATAGCTGCCTATGGATGTAATACAGTGTTGAGTTCCCAGCAGCATAACCTTCCCTTTGTTAATATGTGATACTGTTTTGTGACAGGGATGATGAGCACTTAGACAACAATCTCCAAGTTGGCCTCTTTGTGGTTGTCTCCTTCTTCTTGGTCATCAGTGTTCTGGCCTTTCCTAATGGTAAGCACCATCATTATTTAATGGTAATTTTTCAGTTTTTGCAAATTATGCTGGGAATTTTTCACCATTTTCTGACATTGTATAGACCAAACAATTAAACATCTAATTGAGAAAATAATCAGGAGATTAATCAATAGTAAAGAAAAATAGTTAGTCGCAATCCTACTTCATTTTGTTCATAAATAATTACTATACCTTGGAAATAGTTTACCAAAAGAAAAAAAAGAAAACAACCTTAGCTCCAGGTGTACTTGCTAGCTTTTTTCTAGAGCTTTCAACTGCATCTCACAGTCTTCCTCAGTGGATGCAGTTTGCTCAGATACAATGGATAGCTCAGTTGACAAGTATGAAACAAGTGATAACAGGTGGTCATGTGAGGGGAACAATCTCCATGACATCCTAGCAAACCCCATCCACTGAGTAAGACAGAAGAAAGCTCTGGAAAAAAAGCTAGTAAGTGGACTATGAGTTAATTTTCTTTGGCTGAATTTTTCCTCTACTGCAAATAGTGGAAATACACCAACAGTCACTTATGTTGCTTTCTTCATCAGGACCTTTTACCAGGCCACACCCTGCGATATGGCGAATGGTGTTTGGTAAGTGTTTGTCTACATTTTCTTCACTCACCATGCATCAAAGTAACCTAGCTTTTCTGATAAGATCCAGTTTTCATCTCTCTTCAACCTTACTCGCTTTCTCCTGTTGTGGGTAGGTCTGAGTGTACTCTACTTCCTTTTTCTGGTCTTCCTCATCTTCCTCAACTGGAACCAGGTGAAGACTCTGATGTACTGGCTGGACCCAAATCTGCGCTATGCCACACGGGAAGCCGACATCATGGTAAGGTTTGTTTGGAACTTAGAATTAGTTAATTTTCCTTTGAACCATCAGAGCAAGTTCATATCAAATCAAGAATGTTGAAAGATTTCAGAAGTAGGAATGGCCATAGGAAGGCCCGACAGATCTTTGATATTGCCAGACAAATTTCCTTGCTTCTGTAGAATCACGGGTTACAAGCTCTATATTGAAAGTTTTCATGTATATAGATAAAAAAAAAGGGTCCCATTCATAGAGCAAACAGATCATGGCTACTGTGAATAAAAAAATACAATATCATTCATTTAGGTTTGTTTGTGGAGCTTTGCCTTATCTGAATCAAGCTGATGTAATTTGTTGTACAGATTGCAAAAACTAGTTATTTAGTAAAATTGAAAATAAAACTTGACTTGATTTAGGTATAAAATTCTATTTTTCAGAGTTTAATAAACAAAGATTGAAAGAATAAAAGATCAGCATCATTGTAATCATTTGTGTTTTCGGAATAACTTTCAGATTTCTTTTTTGATGGCCGTTACTTTTCTTTTCTTTTCTACAGGAATATGCTGTAAACTGTACAGTGATAACATGGGAGCGCGTCTTGAGCCACTTCGACATCTTTGCATTCGGCCACTTTGCAGGCTGGGCCATGAAGGCACTGCTCATCCGCAGCTACGGCCTCTGTTGGACCATCAGCATCACCTGGGAACTCACAGAGGTAATCTGTGTGTGTGTACTTATGTTCAAGATGAGAACAGGATTTATCTGCCTACATTAAAATTTGTGACGTAAATCATGCACACATTTATGTAGAGTTCAAGGACCTAGACAACCCCCACTGGGAAGTCTGCAAGGTCATGCAAAAAAAGTAATTACTTGTAAACTGTAGTGATCCAGCTCATACAAGAGAACAACATTGCTTCAGCTCAGTCTGAGCAGGCAACAGGGATTGATTGTTCCGGAGAAACCCATCATAACAAAACAGTAGTATCAGCAGGAGTTTCTGCACATGCCAAGAGCTGCTGCCTTGACTGCTGCCAATTGTTGACAGGAAGGATTAGATTACAGGATTTAGCCTAATACCAGATTTACCCATCACAGAATCGACTTCGTCACGGAGCCTTTGGTTGAACAAGGTGCAACATTCATCATCATACAAATAACACACTAACTAAATTTACATTTTGTAGATTTAGTATTTTCCAGCCCCAGCTTTTGATGTAACTTCTCGCCACATAAATATATTGCATTTTCATTATCCTTTCCACTCTTTTTTTTTTTTTTTTTTTTTACAGCTGTTTTTCATGCACCTTCTGCCAAACTTTGCGGAGTGCTGGTGGGATCAGGTGATACTGGACATACTGTTGTGTAATGGAGGGGGCATCTGGCTGGGTATGACCGTCTGCCGCTTTTTGGAGATGAGGACCTACCGCTGGGCCAGTATCAAGTCAGTCAAACTTTTTCTTTTCTGTGTATTTTCTAAAATCATACAGATGATATATATAGATCCTTAAGATTTTTTTTTGGGATCACAAATTTAAAAATCAAATGCTCCTTCCTATTGGAAGGACTAAATCCAGTAATTCCCAAACATTCTCTCTCATGCCGCCAAAAATATGATTGATAGCATTTTAGTTTCTGTCGTGCAAATGAAAAAAAAAAAGTTCCTGCTATGTTAAATACAACCTACCCTTTTCTAAGGAAGTACTTTATCCTGGCCACACAAAAGACACGAGGCTCTCATACCTTGGATTTGACTAATGCGTTGGCTTGACAAGCAACACCATTCTTCTGTTCTATTCTTTCAAATGTCTGTCCATGTTGTACTTCACATGTCATTTCGCTTTCTGAATACACCTCACTAGCCTGAATCTTGATTCTTTATCATCCCCAAATAAATCACATTCAAAGATAATTTTTGCAGCAGACCTTATGACTTGTCACAGCGGAAAAGCACAAGTGGAACGACGGCTCCAAGTAAAAATGTTGGTTGTGGAAAAAAAGGTCTGTTTAACTGAAGTTTTACTCTTCGTTTCTCCCCTTGGTCTTAGCCCATTGCTGCTGTATGAGACAAATTATTTAAATCAGATGATTTATGACACTAGAGTTCTCCATAGCCCCGTGTTATTGTATGAAGCAAGATTCCGTATTTATCACTGTATCCTCAAAGGTGTACATACTGTGTCTGTTCAGGGAAATCCACACCACCACAGGGAAAATAAAGCGAGCCGTGCTCCAGTTCACCCCGGCCAGTTGGACCTACGTGCGTTGGTTCGACCCAAAGTCGTCCTTCCAGAGGCTCGCAGGCATCTACCTCTTCATGATCTTATGGCAGGTAGGCTTTGACCTTTGACCCAGAAATTCTTGTAAGATTGTAAAAATCCCTAGTATTAATCTGTTGATAATTTTTTTTAATTAGAGATGAATCACATATTCTACAACAGCTCCCCTGTTCACTGTCCCATCCTGTTATCTATACTGTTATGTTTGTCAGCAAATACATCCATGGAGAATCCTATTAAATCGTATCCGTCCGACATCCCTTATCTTCACAGCTGACAGAGTTGAACACGTTCTTCCTCAAGCACATCTTCGTCTTCCAGGCCTCTCACCCACTCAGCTGGTGTCGTATCCTCCTTGTTGGAGTCATCACTGCACCCACTGTGCGGTAAGTTTGCTCTTCAAAATGACATCTCTTTACACACCACTTATGAGCAGCAGTAAATGTGATATACTAGATTTGAACACTACCTAAAACAAATGCTAAGTTGTCGGTTCAAATACTTTCTGACATTTAGGTCTGTGTGGAAATCTAAAATATTTGCTTTGTTTGCTGTGTTAAAAAGAATTCAAATGAGCCATTTTCTTGAACTCTTTTCAGACAATATTATGCATACCTGACAGACACTCAGTGTAAACGCGTTGGCACACAGTGTTGGGTGTTTGGGTAAGTATCAGTATCACCTGTCAGTTCATGTTTTTAGTGATCTAGAAACAAGTTTGGAAGCTGCATTAATGGTGGTTTTCGAAAACTTAGTGCACCCCTAGTAGAAATTCTTATATATATTTATTTCATTGCACTTGCAGAGTTTTGGGTAAAATTTGCTTTTATCCGCTCGTCAGTTAAATCACAACTCCAATAGGAGTAGTCTGGAAAGCAAACTGAACTGACATTGAACCTTGTCCAGAGCCTGGTAGGTTTTCTTTCATTTTGTCGCCATACTGTCACAGCGATATGTGTCCTCGCTGGCTGGATGTTCGAGTTTTTGATCAAACAAATTACAGTGAGAACTTCTGCTCTGACGACGCCATGAATTGATAGTGTCACATCTTCATCTTTTCCTGTTTATAGTTGAAATCTGTTGTAGATT